ACTTACTCCAATCATGTCCCAGTGTCTGATGAAGCAGGACAGAAGCTCTGGTTTTTGTTTGCGTAGTATGCAGGTAGTACTTGGATTTGCTCTGAGCCACATTTGTTAACGTCTGAGAAATCTAGAGGACAAAGGAGCAGGACGCTTTTGTGTGGCATGCCAGGGTCAAGGTGGATTTAAAAGGTTGTACATGGCAACGCTGAGGGGGTTGTTAATATTGGTTTTAGAAGTCTCCACAAGATGATCAAGCGTTCATGTGGCCAGCATGATGAGGATTAGGTTCAGCAGTAAGGAGTTAGGGTGGAATAATATGATGCAACATGAAGGAGTGATCAGATGATTGGCAGACTGACACGAAGAAAATAATGACTGAAACCGACGTCATCGCTGATTTACTGTTTGATTAACCTGAAGTCTAACTGGGACCTGAGTAACTCACCAGCTTATATGAATGAAGGATTTACTAACCGTCATGGCAACATTAAATCAGTGGACCAATTAATAAATGGAGGTCTGGAGGTGTGAGATATGAGTTTATAATCTCATTTGATGTCAGCATGAATTATGTTGTATGTATTAAATCCCTATCACATGATCATGAATAGGATTTGTCTGCAGGCCCTGTGTGTGTGTGCGCATTTGTGTGTGTGTGTGTGTGTGTGTCTGTGTCCTTGCCAGAGGAAAAAAATAAGTTACGAGCAACTAAGCTACATTTACTTAACCACCATCTGCAATGTTGCATTATTTCTTAATTACATGAGTAATATTAATCACCACCAGGTCTCTGTGTGCTTCTGTTTTACACATATGTTTTCAAGATTTTACAAAGACAATGCCCTTTGTGACTGAAGTATATTATCTTTGTCCTTTTACTTCAACTACATTTTTCCCAAAATGCCTTTGTAGTTTTAACTTCATACATTTTTAATGTTGGACTCACTTATAATTGCGCATTTTAACACGTGTTGGTATCTATTTCTGCTGCAGGTATCTTTGCTGCTGTCTCAGACTACCTTTAAGTTTTTTGTGGCAAATTAAGCTGCAGTCTACACACAAAGTTTCCCCTTTAGCTTGTTTATAACAGTTCACTATTAGATTAAAGTAAGCGCACTACGCTCGTGTAAAACAATTCATTGCATCTTTTGCAATGTGTTTATTGCACATGTTCACTAGTATTAACATGCATCTTCACTGATCCGATCACAAGTGGACAGCTCTCACTTCGTCAGTTCACACCTGACTTTAAAATGCGTCTCCACATGCATCTCATTGACCACTTGTAATCGGATCTAACGTCTCCCCTTTATATGCAAATAACCCTTCCATGCCCCACTCGCTGTCTCTCCCTCGCTTGCTCTCACACACACACTATAGACCGTAAATAAAGATGGACATAGCCTCTGTGATGTCAAGAACAGGTTTCTGAAAAGCGGTTTTGAAGCTCAGAGTGGGCCGTTCTGCCGTTGCCATCTTGGCAGTACCTAACTCCCATCAAACTCCCAGCTAATCCAAAAATGGGCAAAAAAGGAGGGACGCGTGTCGAGCTGAGACTTCAGTGCAGGCATACGCTCACGGAGTTAGTTATATAAAAATTCATCGCCTGTACAGTTGTCACGCAGGAGGAAATTAGTCATGGAGACCAAAAGCGTTTTTTATACCGGGCTGTAAACATGTTTATTTCTGCTGTAAAGTTTTCACATGGGAGTCTTTCAGCCTTGGAGGTTGCCGCTTGACACACACACACACACACACACACACACACACACACACACACAAACAACAAACCAATTTGTCGAGCTGTCCACTTGCGATCGGATGACATGATAAATTTAGTGCTACTTTTCCCACTAGTTGTTTCCTATAATTGAAATATATCAATTCGCAACTTTTAACTTGGTAAAGAAATTCAGTTTTTTTATTTTTTATCTTATATAAACAAGGTAGTTGTTGAATCTGGTGTAACACTGTTCTACTCACTGGTCTTATGAACAGCTCCTAGGTTTGTTAACTTCCTCTTAACGGTGATACTACCTGTGCAATATGTTTACTGTGTGAAAGAATAAAGACTATAACATTATGTGTGATCTCACTTTTAGTGTCCCTTTAACCCTCTTTACCTTTCACCTTATCCATAATAATTCATATTAAACCATCTCAGTCATGAAATTAAAAGAATTTATTAAACCGAAATTAGGGCAACTTGCATAGGAAGATCCGAGTAAAAGCAAACAGATAAACAGTCAAATTGTTCACCCTCTCCCCTCTGTTGGGAATTATAGACTCAAATTCAAGTTAATACTGTTACTAAACAGAAAACCATGAGTTAAAGCACATAAAAACACTCTCTTTAATTACTCTTTATCTCATCTAGCTTCTATTTTGCTCTTTTAGGAGTTCTTATGTACCTTTAACTACATAATAAACCTTAAAAAGTTCAAACCATGAAACAACACATTCAATCTTTGTGGGCCCACACTATGAAAAACACACAAAAAGCAAGCAGTGAAATAAAATTGAACCTTTCAATGCAGGCCTGTGGCTGGTGTCCGTTGGCCCACGTTAAAGATGGCGCCCGATCCTTGGCCATGGATGAAGAAGGACTTTCCTCCCTCGTAGCCAGAGGTGCAGCTGGGTTTTACCTGGTCACCCAGTGCGCTATCCGGTCTCCTCTCGCTCGTCGTCAGGCTGATGGTATCCACCGAGGTGCTAGCGAGCGGTTAGCGCTGCGCTAGCTTAGCGTGCTCGTAACTCAGACGAAACACACACTTATTTCGACACGCTGAAAACGCGGTAGTTGATCAAAATGTCACTGACTTTAACTCACTGAGCTTCGTACACTATGTGAAGCACATTGACAACGATAACACCCCCGTTTACACACTCAACGGTTATCTTTTCTTGCTCTCACACACTCTTGTTTGCTGTTCTCCCGCCCCCTGGCCAATCAGTAACCAAGGAACTTGACGTTGCTTTATAGCTGACCAATAGGAAAGTAGGATACAACATAGCGCTGTAGTATGTGAGAATAAAATAAACAGGTTGGGTTACCTTACAAACAAACTTTTTATGTTACATTCAATGTCGTGGAAATTTACACTACTCCCCATGTAATTGGTTACAAACATTTAAACTATATACTATATAAATTATATACTATAACACATTATTATTATAGAATATTGCATAACTCTACAAATGGAAAATAAAGGATAATATCCTAGGGTTTATGAACAAAATAAGCTAGGGGGTTACACTGGTCATATAAAACACAGAAACAGCTAAAGACCCACTACTGCAAAAAGATAACTAGCATAGTTTAGACCTTAAATAATCTTTCTCAGTAGTCCAGAAAGTAAAGGCATTATATCCTATCTATCTACCCATTCAGCCTGTGAACCTTATACCTTTTTGAAGCTTGTCTACAGTTCCCACTGCCTTGTAGGGCACTGTTGATGAGAGTAGCCTGTGACTTTAGTAGCTTCTTTTTTTTTTTTAACAAATTGTTAAAATTAACTTTGATAAAGAAGGGAAATAAGATTAGCAAATTGTTTTATATAACACAAGACTGACTCTCCAAAAACTGTGCTGAGACATTTTTAGTTTTCCATCCTTTCTCACAAACCAGTTTATTTGACCATTTGACCCCTGTTTTTTCCTTCCTTTTTGGGCCAACTTGGACCCTGAGAACTCTTCACAGCAGCAACAGTGTGAACATAGTCTGTATCTTGAAATGGCTGCCGTCCAAGCTATGATTGGTGATCACCACCAGGTCTCTGCTGCCAAGTCAGACCAGATTCAAGCAGTAAGACCGGCCTTTATCTTCAAATGTATGTCTCACAGGCTAGAAATGAAAAGTTAAACCTCTACAGTGGCCACTAGTTAACATGCTGGGGGTCACTTCAGTTCTCTCAGACCAGCGGTTGTCCATTTCCCTCATTACAGAGTACTAATGACTGCACATCTGGATTGGAGGTGTGAGGTCTTTGGTCTGTGTTGGTGGTATGTATGTATGTGTGTGTGTGTGTGTGTGTGTGTGTGTGTGTGTGTGTGTGTGTGTGCACATCTTGAATGTCCACCTCACCACCTGTGTCTGCAACAATAAATGTGTGAATGTAAAGAAGTCCACTTGGAGCAGTTTGAGCGGTGCACAGAAGCACGCCTCCACACACACACACACACACATACACACACACACACACACACACACACATTCAGACACTTACACACTGAACCCTCTAATCAGGTATGTTTCCAGTTGGTCAGGCTGACGAATTAGAGACCCCCAAATGTCAGCCCTTCTGGTCTGGTCTGGGAGTTTGTGTGTGTTCATGTGGGTGAGATTTGTGTTTGATGTGAGTGCAAGTATATGCAAATACATTTATATCTCTGTGTGTGTGTGTGTGTGTGTGTGTGTGTGTGTGTGTGTGTGTGTGTGTGTGTGTGTGTGTGTGTGTGCATGACAGAGATATAGGTATCAGGGGTGAGCCTGGCTGGAATGCTGAGGTGAGAGTTTGTCTCTACGGGAGATAGGCTCCTTAGTGGGGGGAATCAAGGGAATGTGAAGCCATCTCATCACATACACACTAAATACTCTAATTACCAGCTCTTGTGTGTGTCTGTCTGTTTCGGAGGATTATGTCCATGCAAGGCAGAGCAGTGAGGCGCAGGCAGAGTCAGGATCAAATCAAGTCAAATTAAAGGCATGTCAGGATGATTCAGAGGTACCTCTCTTCCTCTAATGTGGTGAATGAACCAGCAACACACAGGTAGCTAACAAGGGAAGAAAGTTTGAATCGGGATTCACACATCTGCCAGGACACCTACTGTGCACCTCTGAAGTAAGGTACACCTACAGTATAGTCGGAGCAAACTAAAAAGTCACATAAGTGCAAATACTTAGCATCAAAAATACATGTCAAGGGACATCTTTTTCAGCTCGGCTCCACCTGTTGTTTAGATTTACTCATTCGAACATTGTCTTCTCTCTCTGTCTCTGTCAGATCGAGGCTCGGGAGGTCATCTGGACCTGACCGAGTTAATTGGCGTACCCCTCCCTCCCTCGGTCTCTTTCACTCCTGGCTACGAGGGTTTTCCAGCCTTCAACTTCGGGCCTGAAGCCAACATCGGCCGGCTCACCAAGACCTTCGTGCCAGGGTCCTTCTACAAGGACTTTGCCATCATTGTCACGGTAAAGCTAGAGAGTTGAACTCTTCAACCTTTTAAACCTCCTTCATGCTTTAATTAAGGTTTTTAAAGGGGGTCACCATGGCTTTGAAAAAAGCGGCATCGAGACAATAGTGCTTATCTACTATCAAGTCATTGCCAAGTATGTTACAGGGGTTTATTGTAATGTAGAACAGCTTGTGGGCCGGTGCCTCTCTGGGGCGCCACCTGGTGGAAGTCTGATGATAAAGCAAGACAACTTTTTGCTTGTTAGAATAAACACAGAAAGGATTGTATTGTCTCTATTTATACTGGAACTTCCGTGGATTATTGTACATTCAGCAGGGAGTTTTTCTGACCTTCGATGTCTTCCATACCATGTCCTTATTCTAGGTGCGTCCAGCCAGCCCGAGAGGAGGCATACTCTTTGCCATCACAGATTCCCAACAGAAGGTGGTGGAGCTGGGTTTGGCCCTCACTCCAGTCCGCGGGGGCCTCCAGAGCATCTTATTGTACTACACTGACAGACAGCAGGCCTCCCACAGCCACAAAGCTGCAGCCTTCAGTGTCCCTGATATGACGGACCAGTGGACGCGGTTTACGGTGGGTCTTAAAATCCTAAAAAAATTTTAAAATGTATTAATAAAAACAATTTGCAAGTGCAGTAAGATGATTTCACTAGTATACAATGCAAATCAACTATGTGCTGTTTAAACGTGTGTAATTCCATCTCCTGATTTGTTAAAAAAAAAAGGACCATTCTTCTTCAATTTTGCCAAGTTAAACTCTCTATTAAAACACTTCTTTGAAGGTAATTTTCCTAGCAATACAGATAAAATGTATTTCTTTTTAAAGGGTGTATTTGCTCTGCCTGTCAGGTGGTGGTGGAGCACGATGAGGTGCGTCTCTACATGGACTGTGGAGAGGCAGAGAGGGCTACTTTCCACCGGAGGCCTGAAAGACTCACTTTTTCTCACAACTCAGGCATCTTTGTAGCTAATGCAGGAAGCACAGGGCTCGACAAGTTTGTGGTAAGTGAATAACATTCGTATCTGTGGATGTGTTTTTTATGTCGCAGAGGACGAGGAGTTTTGCTTTTCCTGCAAAGCTGCAGAAAGAATAAGTCCTGCTGCTTGTCGTGCCTCTGGTCTGTGCTGTTGGCCTGAGGATTACATCGGGGAAACGTTCATTAACCATTTGGCTGCTTCTCTGTGTAATTTGAATGTTGTTGAGTATGAAAAAAAACAAAATGAAAATAGCTTCCCTGGGTGTTGTCCCTGTTACCAAGGCACCAGGAAAATAACAAAAACTGTATCTGAGCATTTTCTTCATGTTACAGGTTTTATTTATGAGGCTGCAGGCGCTCAGGTGCCAGCTATCTACAGTACGGATATAAGAATAATACACAGAATGATATAGAAAAAATGTAATACTGTGGTAAAGGTAACAAATCACATCTATCTCCCAGTAAACATTTTACACTTAGCTTTTTGTGGCATTTGGCATCTTTGGCTAGCTGTTCCCCTTATGTTCAGTCCTCTTAGGCTAAGCTAAGCTAAGCTATGCTAACTGTTTCATGGCTCTAGCTTCATATTTAATGGAGAGATATGAGAGTTGTAAACCCCCAAACATCAACAACTATTTTAACTGGATATTTAAATTAACATAGAAAGTAATTACATTACATTATTTTAGAGAAAAATACTTCATCCTGGCTTTCCAAGACTACTCCATCTCTAACACACGGTCCGGATCTGTGTACAGTTGGTCGAAACAGGGTCAAGATGTCATGACCACCTCTAGTCAAACCCTGTGCTGGCTCTGTTACAGATTGTGCCGGATAAAACGCAGAGGAGGAAGATCAGAGACAGAGGAAGTCAGAAGGGAGGAAAGAATAGAGAGGGAGAAGAAGGAAGAGAGAAGAGGTTGACACATGGCGAGGGAGGGGAGGATGGAGGAGGGAGTCAAAGGCAAATGAGGAAGTCGGAGATGTAAACAGTGTTGACATGTGGTCAAGGCTTAGTTGTGGTCAGATCAAGGGCTGGACTCAGGCCTTTGTGGCAAAGTGTGATAGTGTAGTGAGGTTAAACTCAAAGCAATATTCCATGACAACATACTTTATATTAGAAACGGTATGAGTAAAGACTCGACCCAAAGAGTGAATGGGAGTCACTGTCAATCCAACAGTGTTCACAGAAGATCAATCTAAGCTGCTAGTCACTTGTTGTTGCCATGGCGAATGGATGTAGTTACGCCCACTTCAGTGCGCTTTGTTCAGTGTAGCCTGACTTTCTGAACAGGTTATCTATCTGAAGCATGGCCACGGCATATGTGCATGCTCAGCAGCAGCAGCAGCAGCCATGACCAGTCTGAAATATCTGGGTCGCTCTGTGTGTGTGTGTGTGTGTGTGTGTGTGTGTGTGTGTGTGTATGCGCATGTGTGTGTCCATGGGTGTTTGTTGTTTCGGGGCTTCAAAGGAGAGCGCTCATGGTGTGGGGCCCTTTTTAATCAGTGTGCGTTTTGTATGCGGGTGCTGTAAATGTGAATGTTGACCAATGAGTGGAATGAACATCTTTCTCCACGTTCCCACACAAAACAGTAGAGTTATTACGCTGCAGTCAGTTTGAGTTACAGAGCAGTTTACAGGTTATTAAAGTACATATAAATATAAATATGTGTCACATACTGATGCAATCCATTGTTGGATTTCTATGTGATGAAATGCAGCGTTTTGGGGATGTTGTTGTGAGTCCAGAGTTCATGTGAGTTCATTTTGGGGATTTTGGGAAATGTAGTAAATGTGTTAAATCAAAAAAAAAAAAATCACCAAATAACCCCTGAATGTTCTGAATATCAATTATTTTATTATCAGTGTAAGGCACTTAAGAAAACACTTAAATGTGTTTATTAATTCAAAGTCCTGGTTCGTTTTGACTCATAATGGTCGCCAGTGATTATATTATAAAGCCCCTCAGCCTCTCACTGTGTTTACAGGTGCACCGACTCATTTCCCGGGAGCACCAAGATTAAGACGAGAGTGTTTACATCCTGGAAGTAATTTGAAACATTCGAGATCCAGTTAACTGAGTCATTACGATTCAGGCAACACAGTTAAAGTGTTTATAAGACGGGATTTCTATAAAGCTCATGTTAACAGTCTCTCCGTCTCTACAGGGCTCCATTCAGCAGCTGGTGATAAAAGATGATCCCAGGGCAGCTGAGGAGCAGTGTGAAGATGATGATCCTTATGTGAGGCGCGCACACACACACACACACACACACACACACACACACACACACACACACACACACACACAAAATAGTAGCTATGGTATAAAGAACAGAATTGCACATGAAAATGGGCTTGTGAACAAATGGCGCCCTCTACTGGTCAAAAGCCTTGATTGGCAAAAAAGAAAAGAAGTTATGAGCTGTTACTCTGTTGATCCTCTTGTCTACCGAGTGCTATGAGCAAAGATGTGACACTTACATATGAGATGGGTGTCGTGTAGATTGTAAAGACATTTACATGAAAAAATGTGAATCTCTGATGTCTGATGAAGGCCTCGGGATACGCCAGCGGGGACGACGCTCTGGATGACAGAGAGACGGAGGAGGAAGTGATGAAGAACACACAGGACAAGAAACACAGCAAAGTACAGGTGGGTTGGATTCATGAAATCACTTCACTTCACACACAATTATTTAAAATTCAGTGTGAAACGCTTCACATCTTTGGAAAGTTTGGGATCTTTGTCTCTCTCTCTCTCAAGTGTGTGTGTGTGTGTGTGTGTGTGTGTGTCAGTGTGGCTGAAACATACACCCCTACTTCTTATCAACAGGACCCTAAAACAATCTTTCATCCTCCCACAACCAGGAAGTCAGTCTGACCCCAAACATCCCATAATCAACACTGACTTTGAAGCTTCAAAAAAACACTGTCCTTGTAATGCCAATGTTTTCATTTTGACCTTCAGCAGCAGCAGCGGCGGCGGCGGCACAGACTCTTCTCTGACACTCTAGATATTTATCTCCTGGTCTAAAGGTCTGTCCGTCCATCAGCTGGTTCATCACACACGATTGAACCGTCTTGCTTTAAGTGTAGCTTGGTATGAATATTGAGGGCACACCACAGATGAATCATAATAATTTTGATTGGATTAAAGAATGAATAAACCTGACATTTGCCAGCCACATTCACAGGATGCATCCTGTGGATTGACCTGTAGTAACCCCTCAGCTATAGGCTCAGCGTCAGGACACACAGTTTTATACATACTACACCATATCCCACATGGAAACTGAACGAATCCCTGCTTCTCACAGGGAGTACCATTTTAATTTTAACCAACTTTAACCCCGTTCCACTCATCCTTAACATGTCTTGTAGGAGGAGGACAGTGTCCCAGTCAGAGCTCCGCCCACTGAGGCTCCGGAGGTGGAGTTTGTTGAGTATTCTGGTCACATGACACCAACAGAGGCCAATGAAGAAATGCTGATCAGAGGTCAGAATGAATCAATGTACTTTGTTCATTTACTCTACGATGACGTTAACCGAACTACAAACTGTGCGTGGCATGATGATTAATTAGGATTTTGTGCGTGATTGGCATCATTGCTAACAGGAAATTCTACGTAAGATCAGAATTGTTAATATTATTAATAATTCATATTTAAAGCCAGTAAAACAGGGACAGTAGGGACAATCTGGCTGTTTTCCGGGGTGGCAAGCTACAGTGAGATGAGAGTTGTCTGTTGGGTAAGAAGTTGTCTGGTGCTGTTTACAGGGCCACACCGGACAGAGGAGGCAGGAGAGAGATCAGGAGATGTGAGTTCAGCTCTCTGTCTCTGTCACACATTGCACACAGGGGTTCAATGCACTTATGAATAATATGAGTGTTTTTTATTTGAATTTTCCAGGGTCACGTCAGGCCGGGGTCCAAAGGAGAGCGTGGAGATCCCGGACCACCCGGCCCACCTGGTCCCCCGGGACCTACAACTCAACCTGGGCAAGCTCAGCCTGGACCAAGAGGGCCACAAGGGCCACCAGGGACCCCCGGCTTCCCTGGACTGCCAGGGAAAGATGGAAAGCAGGTGAGTGCGTCAAAGAGAGAGAGGGAGCATGTGTATCGGTGTGTTTTTGTGTTTCCGTCAGCTCTGTTTGTGTCACTCGCTTCCTCATCCGTCTACTCTCTCTGCACAGGGAAGCAAGGGTGACAAAGGAGATGCAGTAAGTTATTTTATCTCTTTGGTTCGTCGTCTCTCTTCATTGCTGTTTTTATATCCTACATAACTGATAATAACTGAACTGTATCTTCATCTGCAGGGTCAGAGAGGAGCTCAAGGAATTCCCGGTTTGGCTGGAGAAGCTGGAACCAAAGGAGAGAAGGTGAGACTGAAGCCCCCACGTTACAGCTAATAACTCACAACAAACGTCTCTTTATTCAAGGCACACTTGACTTTCTTCTTCTCCTATCCTCTTCCTCTTTCCCTCCCCCTCCGCAGGGAGACCCAGGTATTGGTTCACCGGGCCCTCCCGGCCTCCCCGGGCCACCCGGACCCCCCAGATCACGCAGCGTACCTGTGAGTATCAGTAACACGCACCCATGGTATCATCCTGCATTTTTACCACCTGTGACAGTGTGTGGCTAATTGTTTTCACATTGTGAGTCTGTGTTTGTGTGTGTGTCGTCATGGCAAACTGTTGTCGTGGAGACACCTCCTGCAGCAGGAGCTACCACAGAGGACGTGCCAGGTGGTTTTATGTCTGTCTGTCTGTCTGATTTTTATCCACACGACAGCGTGAAACCGCGTGAGATACTGTCACGAAACTTTGCAGGTGTGTAGTTGAGATCAGAATGAAGGCCGAGTTCGAAGATGGGTGTGGTCCGACCCACGGTCTCTAGTTTAGTGATGAAATCAGCATGTAGTAAATGAAGCTGAGAGTTCAGAGTGAAGGACAAGATGTTTGAAGCATCACTTAACATCTCAGTATATGCAAATACATTTCTATCTGTGTGTGTGTGTGTGTGTGTGTGTGTGTGTGTGTGTGTGTGTCAGTACGGAGCAGATGCCCTGGGTTCTGGGTTTGAAGATCTGGACAGTGACACCGAGCTCATCAGAGTAAGACGAAGTTCAGAGCGGTCGACGAAATAATCTGATGTTTGAATTTACAGAGTCTAAAAAAAATAAACATTGTCTTTCTCCCAGGGTCCTCCTGGTCCACCGGGGCCTCCGGGTCCTCCTGGGCCCCCTGGAGCCAACCCGTCACCTGACACAGGTGAAGGCCGCGATGCTGGACCACCCGGTGCCCCTGGAAGCAACGGGGTCCGAGGCAAACCTGGAATCCCGGTAAGTCCCTGAGATGAAAGACGTAGATTATTCAACTTTCAGTATATTTTATCACAAATATATAGAACGAAGTAAGACCTGCAGAACTGGACGTTTAGGACCCACAAACACACATTTCATAAGTTAACTGTTTTTAAAAACTAGTCACGTTTAAAATGCTGCTTCAAAACCGATCCACCCTGATGGAAAGTAACGTCGCAGGGCAGACACTGAATAATACGGCAGCGGTCAAACCTAAATACATTCATATCAAATCATCGGCGCTTTACCGAGCTGAATTCAGAGGAAGACTTCCACACTGTTGTGAATGAGCGATGTCATGATCACAGTACAGACTGAAGTGTCTCAGTGTTGCATGCTCTGGAAGAATTTCTGTCTCTGAAGTATTTTTGTGTATCGTTGTGTATTGTCCGTCTTTCTTCGAGCATATATTGGTATATGCTTTTATCCAAATGTAGTTTAGTCTGTGTTCCTTCTTACATCAAACTGTAGTGATCAGTGTTTGTGTCTTTCACGGCCAATGACCAGTTTGTCTTTTATTCTCTCTCTACCTCTCCACCCCACTGTAATTATCCCCGACCTCCATTTCTTCCTAATTTAAATCCCCATCAATCTTTCTTCTGCCCACATCTTGTTCCTCTTCTTCATCTTCCACTCCCCTCCCACCGTCTCCTCCTCCTCCTCCTCTTCGCTCTGTTCCAGATGTTTGAGGATTGGTTTAGTGGTTCTGGACCCGATGAGTCAGGTTTGAGCTCAGAGTCGTCCTCTGACCTCGGCTCAGGCCTCGGCTCTGGGTTCAGTTCTGGGTTCAGCTCTGAATCCAGCTTTGCCTCTGGGTCTGGGCTTGACTTCGGGTCTGCTTGGGGTTCAGGCGAGGTATCTACTGTCGTGGTTTGCTTTTTTAAACCAAGCAAACGAGAAAAGGCAGAAACTACAATCAGAGGTCCGTGCATTGAGGCGGCGCGAGCGCACGAAATTAAATCTGACACACGAGACAATCGCAGGGTTTCATTTCTATCATTTGTGCTTTTACATTGTTAAAACAGTGACACTAATGATGAGGACCAACCTCAGCTCCCTGCCTCAATGCTCAGCCTCATGACTGTACATTATCTCCTACCATGTTGTCTTAACTGCTGGCTGGCAGCTGGCTAAACTGAAAGCCTTTTTACCTGGATGACTGACGTGGTGTGTGTGTATGTGTGTGTGTGTGTGTGTGTGTGTGTGTGTGTGTGTGTGTACGCCAGGAATAACTGCCCTCTTTGCGCCTCGATAATCCACATTTTGGTTCATTAACTTTCAGTTCAAGTGTCGTTATCAAATGAAGTTTCACTTGCCATGATAAAGTGACTGAACTGAAAGGAAGTGACCACAGACTCGCTGTACGAGCTGCTGTCTGCCTCTTTCATGCAACATGGTAAAGAAACAAATCTGCCTTTTTATTTTCTCTTTTTGTATATTGTTGTGTATCTGCTGCTCTCCGCCAAGGCACACTGATGACCGACCGGATCACCGTCCTTTGGCCCCGCTGAAAGATGGGGCGAAGTTTTCTATTCAGCCTTTTAGGAGCCAGTAATTTATTAAGTCATGCTTCAGTGTGCCTTGGAATCAAAGCGCCTTACTGAAGGAAATCTGAGGCCTCTGGTACACGGATGTTGTCAGAAACACTGCTGTACTTTGGTCTCTCACTGCTTTGTTAAAGGAATACACAGATTTTTTTTTTTTGTAATGATTTCAACTTTCCTTTTAAGTGATGAGAAAAACTAAATCATCCGTGCCCCCAAAGCTGCAGACGCCACTGCTTCACGCTGCACCTCAGCTGAAGGACGGTTAGCAGTCAGAACGGTCTTGACTGCAAGAACAAGGAGCTAAATTGGGGGGAAAAAATGTAATTTAATTTAATCTATTTGCAGCTACTTCTGTCCGTTTCGTGTCTGTCATTTTGTAAAATTCGAACGAGCACGACGCACTGACGTTACCGGGCGCGTGGTGATGCAGAGCAGCGTTGGCATGGATGAGCTCTTCACTTAAGGAAGCTGACTGTTGAGCCAGTTTCCCAGAAATCTGAGTATTCCTTCAGACTGACGCGCTGCTACCTCTGGGGTTCAGCGCTGGCCAGTGAACAACCTTAGCATCCTGTTTCTCTGTACGCTAACCTGTTGTCTGCCACTTATCGCCGTTTCCTTTGTCTATGTCTACCTGTGTCTGTCTGCGTTTGTATGTCCAGGGTCCAGCAGGAAAAGATGGGGCTGCAGGTGTACCAGGAGCTGTGGGAGCGAAGGTATGCTCAGTGTCACAGAGACCCATCCCACTTTTTAAGCCAAATGACCATGGTTATGTGAATTTTGAAGATGTACAATGATAATTACAATCAGTCTGATAGTATATACACATCTTATGTCATATCATAATTTGATTCTGTATGAATTTATCAAGATCTTATATTGTCCCAGTGTCCACCAGTCCTAAATAAAAGTCATGCAGTGCTCACTGTCTTTCTTCCTTCTCTACACCATCAGGGTGACCAAGGGTTACCTGGCCCACCTGGACCAAAGGTAATGTATACACTCATCATGGAGTAAAACAAAGCAATCAGCTGCACAACATGTGCTACTGTATATTTCTATTTTATCCCCAAAATAAACATTTCATTGTTTTTCAGGTTAGAAAAAGGGTAAATCAGTGTTAACTATAGGCAGCTCCTGCTAATAGGAGTTTCATGTTTCTTTTTCATCTCTGCAGGGTGAATGTGGGTCTCTGGGCACAGCAGGGTCTCCAGGGCCCCAAGGGCCCAGTGGCCCACAGGGGAAGAGAGGCCAAGTGGGTCCCCAGGGACCCCCCGGACCCCCCGGACCTCCAGGAACCAAATTCTTTGTCGAGGTGACACCATTTCATACCAACCACCCACACATACACATCACTGCCGCTCCACAGACTGACGCTAATTAAGCTGAGAAGGAAACAATAAGTTCATTTAGTGAAGAGACGAGTAAAGAATAACCTCGTCCTCAGCACAGAGGTCCCTAAGATTTCATCTTGATGCTTAACATCAGACTGTGTTTTTGTTTTCAGGATATGGAGGGATCTGGGAAGAGTGACGTACTCATGGGAGCTGGAGTCAAAGGCCCACAGGTCAGTGCAAGTCTTTGTGTGTGTGTGTGTGTATTTATATATACATTTATATTGTTTCATTTACAGTAAGTGTTTTGTATTTTTTTCCCAGGGTCCCCCTGGCCTGCCTGGCCCACAAGGACCTAAGGTAATCTATTAATGAATATTTATTTAATGTACACTTACAGAAGGTATTTGTAATACATTTTTGACAGCTAATAATAAATACTGTATGTATGGTTCCTCCGTGAGTATCTCCTGCTCGTTCAGTAGTTAAAGATAGTTTCTCATGTCTTCTGTAGGGTGACGATGGAGTCCCAGGAACTCCAGGACTCTCTGTCAAGGTGAGGTTATTCTCATACGGCTCTGCTTTACATTTCTCTGTCACATTGTGTATGATCTTCTCTCCTCTGTTACTCTCAGTCCTGACTGTTTATATCTTATACATTAAGTTTTGTTTGGTTTTATGGCACAAACTGGAGCCGCCTCTCCTTATGCTGTGTCTGATTGCAGGGTGAACCAGGAGACCCAGGACCTGAGGGTCTTCAGGGTCCTGCTGGACTACCGGGTGCAAGGGTGAGTAGTTTCCACAGCAAACGTGTTGATCATTTTTGATTTGCAATGTAATTAGTTTGCTAATAGAGTTGAAATGGCTCTTTTCAAGGTTCCCTTTTTAGTAGTCGGTCCTCTGAGAGATCAAATCCTGTCTGTGCAGTGAGAGAAGACGTCCAGGGCGTCTTTAGCAAATGAGGAAAAATAAAAGCTAACTTTCCTACAACTCATATTTACATGCTAGCTGCCAGTCACAGCACATACAGCAGCACATTCAAAGATGGCTTATTAACACATGGTAAAGTTTGTATGGTGCACCCTGCCCTGTCTCTATTTTAAATAATAAACTCTCTATGTAGATCACCCTTAAACATACTAACACATTCATTTCTACTATCTCTCTAAAAACAGGGGGCTAAAGGAGAAAAAGGCAGTTCAGGAGCCAAGGTAGGTTTGCTGAAGAAAGCATGATGTGTGGATATTAATATATATATATATATATATATATATTAATATCTGACAGCAGTCTGATGTGGTCTGCACATTTTGTTCCACCGTCTTGACAGCGTTCTCTGTTTTTCTGCCCTGCAGGGTGAGCGAGGCGCTGATGGACTCAGTATCCCAGGACCACCTGGGCCAGCTGGACCTCCTGGACCGACTGTTAATCTGCAGGATGTACGTACACGTACATGCGCACGTGCAAACACACAAAGGGCATTTTCTATTCACTATTTAGTGAATTTTCGAAAACCGACACCACAACTTACCCCGTGTACGATTTTTCTACAGCTGCTCCTCAATGTCACAGAGGGAATTTTCAACTTCACGGAGATCAGGGGACCACCGGGGCCCATGGTGCGTAGAAATAAACTGTTGAAGCAAAGTGACAATGTCTCTTAGTCAATTTTGGGACAGGGTGGAGGGTGATAAATTGATGATCGCCACTTACATCTGTGACATCAGTAACACAGAAACACACAGTTACGTAATTGTTTAACTTGTAATACAAGGAGTCTTTTGCTGTAATTTCCTCACAGTAAATCTCAGGATGAGCTTCTGCGTCCTCGCCCTCATTCACAGTCACGTTACTGTAGCAGAATCATTTTTGAATTGCTGGAGCTGCAGCTTCGTTAGATGACACTGACAGTGTGAGCATGTGGTTTATGGCTGTACCAGAAATGATGATTAATCCAGCTGGGCTGCTTTTGCTTGTATGTGCACTTACGCCTACACGCATGCATGTGTATGAATGTGTGTGTGTGTGTGTGTGTGTGTGTGTGTGTGTGTGTTGCATGTGTGTGTGTGTGTTTGCAGGGCCCTGAAGGCTGGCCTGGCAGAGCTGGATTTCCTGTAAGAGCCTTTTGCTACATCATCTAATGCTGAGCATGTGTATCACAGGACATTAAGTGTGCACGAGTATTTAACCACCAGTGAATAACGATGCCACAATTATTTGAAAGCAATGTGACATATTTCTTATTATTTTTGCCTTTGCTGTCATTGGGCTAAACGTGGTAAGTAGCAGAACTGCTGTAATGTTTTTGCCACAGGTGGAGAAGAAGTCATTTTATTTTACTTGAACTGATGTTTTACAGTCTTCCTAAAAAAAATGTACACTGACCCGGCGGCCATCTTTTTTTAAATGCTATCATCCCAGTTCAAAGTGCCAACTCTGCCTCACTATCCTTTCATCCCTCTTCAGGGTCCCCGAGGACCAAAGGGAGACGTAGGCCCTCCAGGTAACCGGGGGCCGGGAGGGCTCAAGGTGAGAACCTGACCACATGAGTGACGACGGAGCTCTAATATGAAACAGTAGAGATGAGGACGTTTGATTTTCTTTGCTCTAACAGGGAGAAAAAGGAGAGCCAGGGGTGACTATTGCTGCTGACGGATCTCTCTTAGCTGCACCACGAGGCCCCCAAGGACCAAAAGGCATTAAGGTACCAGACCAGTCAAAATTATTTGTTTTACCGTCCCTCATTATGTAACTTAATTGTTTTCCAGTTATTAAAAGTCGCTGAAAGTCAAGAGTAACACAAGAATCAAAACATGAACCTTTATTTTATTTATTTAACTAAATAAAACTCTGTATGTCACAAGCATCTCACGTTTTGCTGTACTGCTTTGTATTTTCGCAGGGTGACCGTGGGTTCCCAGGATCAGCTGGAGCTATGGTGAGTTCATATTAAATTGATTTTATATCTGAAAACTCTTTATGAGCTCTGTTGACGACTCTCTTGTTTTTGAAATACTTAAAATAAACAGTTCACTCAGGAGCTCATGCATTTTATCCACGTGTTGTTGTGTTTATTTCAGGGCCCGGTAGGACCGCCTGGACAAAAAGGAGAGTACGGCTTCCCCGGTCGCCCGGTGAGTAGCGTTTCTTCGGATGTACACTGTCAGGAAATGACCACGACCCTCTTTATGTCGACAATCTACTGAGAAACAATGACTATGTTTGTCAGCGCCAAGAAATTCAAGAAACTCTATTAATTCACTAATTTCTTTAAAAGTAATTTAAATTTTAATGAAGTAATGTAATGATGTAAATACTGATTCCATGCTCTCTCTCTCTCTCTCTCTCTCTGTAGGGTCGACCTGGTATGGCTGGAAAGAAAGGTGACAGAGGAGATTCTGTTGGCCTGCCGGTAAGAGGAAGTTGCTAAAGACCCAATCAATATAAGATCAACACGTTAAGGTTTATAGTCATTGACCTCCACAATGGATCACATGACTACACGCGCAGTATGTGAAAGGGGTCACTAACAGTGATGAACCCACGGATAATTTACCGTTTTCATGTCGATGTCAATGTTTTGTTCTCTTGTCTCAGGGGCCACCCGGTCCTCCAGGCCCACCCGGACATCCAGGAAGAATTATCGGTCTGAATGGAGTAAGTATGAATCTGTGTTTGTGTCTGTACAAACCTTTGGATAGTTCCAACTTTAGCAGCTTTTAATCTCTTCATCTCTGTAATGTCAAAATCACATACGTGGTTGTCAGTGAGCAGAGCATCAGTATCTTTGTATGTGTTTTTATGGTTTTTATGGTTTTTTTTTTTATGACCCTGAATCTTGTCGAGTTGATTTTACTTTAATTTAAATTTTTATTTTAGTCTGATCACGCTGCTCTTCTCTGAATCCTAAAGACAGTGTTCCCGGTGCGCCCCAGACCGCACTGCAAAAAGGGACGAGTAAGTCTGAGTCGGACCACCTGATTGGTCCGTTTCAGTGTGAAATCGGACCGTCCAGTGGTTCTGTCGGTGTGTGGGTGTAGCAGCATGGCAGCTCTCCGGTCTGGGCTACAAACAGCACCCCCCCCCCTTACCTCCTTTCATCCTCTCCTCTTTGCGCTCCCATCGTCCTAATGATCTTTGAAAAGGCTCCATGTTTGTGGGTCTGGCCTCATTTCATCAGGCATTAACATCCCTCCTGTATACAGGTTGTATTTCATTATTTTACCTGCCTGAAACACATATTTGTGGTTGGATCTATGCGAGAAAAATTTATCGTAAGCAGTCGCCAGATGCATCAGCCACCTGCAAATATGATTTGGCCGTTCTGATCTTCAGTGGGTTTATTTACACCGAGGTTTTTCTGTGTATTTGTTAAATCCAATATGATCACTCAGGACAAATGTTAATGCCAGGTGTTAAAGGGGGTCTGGGTCTGAATCCTGCTTGTCTCATCCGTCTTTACTCTCCTCATCATCATCTCAAGGAGGAGGAAGCTGGATGAACCTCTGACAGGGAGGAGAACGAAACTGTCGATACTCATCCTCCCTCTGTCCATACATCAGAGTTGGTGCCAAATCGCTTTCAGTTCAATCGATTTAAAAAAGGAAACTATCTCTGAAATGTTGGCTATTGGAAACTTTAAATTAATATTTGTTCCAAAGAAAAACTCCTTCATTAATTGGTTGCATTGAAAGTGAGATAAATCGATCTTCCTCTGTTCGTGGTGTCGGGTGTGTGGGTTCTTCTGTACAACCCTTCTCTGTTAAAGCGTGAGACTTGAAGTTGTTGTCGTGGGGTGGTCTGGCCCGGGGGGGGGGGGCTTCCAGGAGGTGATTGAGGCTAACTGAGTGTACAACACGTCTCTCCTCTGTAAATCTTTCTAAGTACCTGCTTTAACCTTGATCCCTAACTTCCCTTTACAGTCGGGTGAAGGTTGTTTCGTGCTGCAGTGTGTAGCATGCATTCCCCTGTGTGACAGGTGTTTTACAGTGCTGACAGCAATGTTTTAATCTCTGAAATCTGTTTTTTATTATTACCCAGGTTTTTTTTTTTTCTTCCATTTTTAACATGTTACTGTCTGTGTTCAACCGTACATTTTTTTTAAATTTTATAACAGCTTGTGCACATGCGTGTTCCTGCTGCCGTCCGTGATTCATGTTAACGAGCATCTATGTGTGCGTAGGAGTCGAGGGGAGATTCGTTTGGAGCTAAAGGTGACAAAGGAGACGAGGGAGTACCTGGAGAACCGGGCACACCTGGTAAGTCCTCTGCACCGTAAACGTCCCATTACGTGGGATGGGTTTGCTCACTCACTCACAACGTGTTGCGTACGATTACACAGATGTGTTATTTATGTTGTGTTGTCTTTCATCTTAGCACCTGGATTTCCTGATGGAATTGTGGTGAGTGCTGATTTACTCTAGAGACTCATTTACAGTGGGTGTAATGCAAATATGGATATGGATCTGTTGTCTCTTGGTGGGTCCGTCAGGGTGCCAGAGGTGATCAGGGATACCAAGGTCAGAAGGGAGAAAAGGGTGACGGAGGTCCGCCTGGTCCTCCAGGTCTGCCTGGGAGGTCAGGACTTGTGGTGAGTTCTAATATTCATAAGCTCTGACGATAGTTTTCCAATCTCAGTCCTGAACTGGAGTTTATCTGCAGTAAATAATTCCATTTCCATACCTGTAGGGTCCAAAAGGTGAGTCCATCGTGGGTCCTCCAGGTCCGGTGGGTTCTCCTGGCCTGCCTGGAGCCCCTGGGTTCGGACGACCTGGATCCCGAGGCCCCCCTGGTCCTGCTGGACCTCCAGGACCTGCATTTGCACACGGATCAGGTTCGTGTGTGAGAGAGAGATGGAGAAAATATTATTACTATTAAGAGAAGTTACAGATCATAGATCACAGATCACAGATCAGATACATTCCTATCTGTTGTCATCAGCTGTCCCCGGCCCTCCTGGTCCCCCCGGTCCACCGGGATCTCCAGGATACACCAACCCGGTAACAAACTCGCCACAAGAAAAAATATTTTCTTACGGTTGATTACAGTGTGATGGAGGTGCAGCAGTGATGCCTTGGTGTTGTGTGTCTTCAGGTGACCACCTATAAAACAATCCATGCTCTGAACAGAGAGAGTCAACGGGCCGCAGAGGGAACCCTGGTGTACGTGTCCGAGAGAGGAGGGGAGCTGTACGTCAGAGCACGCAATGGCTGGCGCAAGATCCAGGTGTGTGTCATAAGTAGTTTATTATCAATGTACAAACACATTGTTGTGAGGTCTCTCGTGCTGTCTCAGTGTCAGCCCCCGGTGGACCAAATACTCACCACAGTTCAACCCAGTCATTCCCCTGCTCGATGGGACAGGTGTGCACCTCGTCTCCCTGCGGTCCTGAGAATAAACCACGGTTTAGAAAACTTCAATTTGAGAACCTCAGCTCAGTTTCCTGAACCTAAGAAAATAGAACTTTTTAATAATAGAAGATAAAATATGTCAAATGCATCTAAAGTGCTGTTTAACCTAACAAAAGTGGTGAACTCAACACAGGATCGTAGCACTTACCCAGACTGTGTTGGTGTGTGTTTCGTCTTACAGCTCGGAGAGTTGATCCAGCACGGGCCTTCATCCTCAGCGGCGTCTCAGTCCCTCAGCAGACCTGGAGAATGGAGCAGACCACACAGGATCCACAGCCAGGTTCTCTCTCTCTCTCTCACACACACACACACACTTTTGAAAACACCTCTGTAATTTAGCGCATTCACACATCCAATGTTTAAAGTGAAATGTTTTTTAACAGGAGCTGCAGGAGGGCAGCAGAGGATATCAGCCCAGCTACAACGTGCTGCCCCAGACCTTCAACGCTGTTCCCGGGGTGAGTGTAATAAACACATGTACGCCCTCACACACATACATACACTATAAACTCTGTACCAGACCTAGGTAGCTAAAATTACTTGGCCCAACGACGGCCCCGACTCTGCCTGCACGTCTGCCTGACGCCAGATCTGTGAAGAATAATGTGTCAGATTTGGACCACGCGTGTTTTCTCATCACCTCTGCGTTTTCCTCCGTCCCAGCTCCATCTGGTCGCTCTGAACGCCCCTCTGAAAGGGGATATGCGCGGTATCCGAGGGGCAGACTTCCAGTGCTACCAGCAGGCGCGCTCCATGGGCCTTACAGCCACATACAGGGCCTTCCTGTCCTCGCACCTCCAGGACCTGGCAACCATTGTGAGGAAGGCGGACCGCACTGACATGCCGGTGGTTAACATCAGGGTGAGGGGACATTTGTATTTACAGGTTTATTACAGGGAACACAGATTGATCTTAAATAAAGCAGGTGATCGTGTATTTCGCTGCTGATTATGACGATTCTTACAGAGGATTTCTGAACTTTAGTTTTTCTTTACTTGGGGTTAAGGCGTTTCTTCCACTGCGTTCCCACAAATTTAAAGATGCAGATTTCATTCATTTCAGTTTCATTCGTCTCTTCTCTCTCTCTCTCTCTCTCTCTCTCTCTCTCTCTCAGGGTGAAGTGTTGTTCAGTAGTTGGATGTCCATCTTCTCTGGGAACGGAGGCACATTTAACCCGTCCGTACCCATCTACTCCTTTGATGGACGCAACATTATGACTGACTCAGCATGGTGAGTGTGTGTGTGAGTGTGTGTGTGAGTGTGTGTGTAGGTAATGATGCAGATATGGGCTGGATCCTGGTCCCAGTTTCAGGCCTTTGCAGAACTTAAAACATCTACTGGAAAATGAGTTTCCACTGACCTAACCTGCCTGTCTCCGGACTGGGAGGAAACTGGAGCACCTGGAGGAAGCCCATGCAGACGGAGGGAGAATATGCAAACTCCACAAAGACAGAAAGCAGCTTTCCACCTGGTCCGCAGGTCTTATCTCCGCAGCTCCCTCCACTCACTCTCCTCCTCCTCTCCCCTCAGGCCAGAGAAGTTGGTGTGGCACGGCTCCAGTACCGTGGGCATCCGCCTGACCACTAACTACTGCGAGGCGTGGAGGACGGGTGACATGGCGGTGACGGGCCAGGCTGCGCTGCTGCAGACAGGACGCCTGCTAGGACAACACACCCGCTCCTGCTCCAACCACTACATCGTGCTGTGTATAGAGAACACATATGTGGGCAACACACATGCAAGGAGGACCTGAAGAGACAGAGGAAACACACACACACACACACACACACACACACACACACACACACACACACACACACACACACACACACACACACACACACATACACACATTAACACTTTAAAGAAACACACATGCAGGCATGCTGAAAGTAGAAAATGTGACACGGTGCATATGAAACACATGCAGGCACATACACACGTTATGATGACATGTCACTGTTTGCGTAGAGATGATATTCAAGTACAGACTGCGGGCACTTCTGTTCACACACACACACACACACACACACACACAGGCAAATGCAGGCTCCTACACTCGGCACAGCAACATGAACACAACATTAAAGTTCCCCTCACTTTGTTTCATCTCTAGTTCCCACCTGAGCCCAGGTGTAATCCCCCACGCAGCCGTCCATGTCTAGAGTTCAATTATTTATATTCACCATGAACATGTAACAGCACAACGTGTCATCGCGGAGAACTGTGGGATTTCATTTCATCACATAATCTGAGTAGATCTGAGTCACACCAGTGTGTTTGCACTGTGTACTTTATATTTTTGCTGATGATTGCAAATGCCTGTAATAGTTTGTTGTGGATTTTTTTGCCAGTTCCAGGCAAAACATATTCATTTGTTTCCCAACAGTAAAAAAAAAAAAAATCAGTTAACATCAGACCATTAATAAAGCCTGTTTGTACAAAAATAAATAAATAAATAAATAAAGCAGACTTGATGCACTGTAATGGATTTAACAAGCGACTGTTTGGAAACAAATGAAAACCAATGGATGCCTGGAACTGAAGAAAAACATGTTACAATTTCTGTGACGCAGCATCACAGTCTGTGAGAAAATCTACAGAATACTTTGCAGGAACTGATGTGGCCTTATAAGTCAGTGTTTGTTTTTCTTCTTCCATTTTTATGGAGCAGAAATTTGGGTAAACAAGACCCATGCATGAATATTGTCCTCACATCTGATATGACGACAGTGTTTTAGTTCAGACTGAGTCTTGTGTATCAAGGCTAGCTGTTTGTAGACACACGCTATGTTTACTGTACAACAGTGACTTTCCAGGTTATTCAAGAAATAAAATAATGGGCGGTGAGTCTTATAGGACGGCGATTTCTCTGTAAAGGATAAAACTGGAGACATTTTATATTTTTGTTATTGTCAACAAATGTGTTAGTCCTTCTCTCAGTATTTTCCAACATTCCCAACCCTGCCTGTGGCCCTCAGGCCAAGCACTCCTGGAGACATACAGCTTTAAAAACAGGTCAAGACAACAGATCACTGTGACTTTTAGTAAGCGTTACACAAACAGGAGGAAATTGTGCTTTTGTTGGGGACTATTTGCAGCAGCGGATGAATCCACATTTAGTGCCGTTGTGGCTGTTTACAGCAGCAGGTCAGTGACTGTGGGACTGAGGCAAAATAAACTACAGTGTGTGTGTGTGTGTGTGTGTGTGTGTGTTCACGGTGATGAAGGAACATGTTACTCAGTCACTACAGTGTGTCTCAGTGATGTGTATTTAACAGTTTTTAGAAAAACAGTGAAGCTCCACGGCTCAGAGGAGTAAGATACATACTTGTTATTCGCTGACAATAAAGAAAAAACATATAGAATATCACCAGACTTATCTTTTACATATGAGCACAATGTGAACTGTACACATTCTTACTGTCATATTTTAGATGTAAATACACTGTATGTAAACGACTTCCTACAAGCAAATTCGTCCAATCACAGCTTCACTCATTCACCTCCATCTTTCCTCTGAAAAAAACTCTCTGGATTTTCCCAAAAACATTTTACCACTAAGTTCTTGGCTCTTATTGTTGAATCTACAGATATTAAATCCACATTGAAGAGATTAGTCATGCAAGGTTTAATAAAATAAATAAATGAACCAAGGAACATTTACCAAGAAGCTTAGCTTCATAATCACAGTATGGCGCCCCCTGCTGAAAACCTGTTGACCCACCACCACCTCTGTTTACACTGGCTCATTTATCAATGATTGTTATTACAAATAAATTCAAGTCAGTTTCAGTATTTAAAAGTATTTTGTTCCTGTTTTTCTGCTGAACTAGTCTCAACATTAACATCTGTGCTTTAGCATTAGTATTAGAGTTGAAATCAATGTGTGACTTTCATTAATTTATACTGTAGCAGGACATAGTGTGAAAATCTAGTGAGTTCACTTTTAAGATTTTGATGAAGTTGGAACATGTATATATATATCTATATATATATATAGATATATATATATGTGTGTGTGTGTGTATTGTTATTGTCCAAATGTTTTTGTTTTTTACTCTGTAGAGGTAGGTTTTGTATGGCGCACACTAAATGACTAAGATTTTCTCTCACCATGTGTTGATTGAGATGTAGTTCTGCCTGTAAAGAAGATGTAGGCCTGACTGAAAGGAACAAAATGTTTGAAATGTTTTCCTCATGTCCGATTATGATGTTTCTGTTCAAACAAAACTTGAGCTTCTGAGAAAAGAGAACATTTGTACTGACTGGTGCTCACGGAATAAATGTTGTATTTGGTGTTTTTTAAGTGGTGCCTCCATTTGTTTCGCTGTGTTTACAGGAAAAACAAGGGTTTTTAATGAGCATTTTAAAATCACACGTGCTGAAATCTAACCAGCAGATGTGCTCTTCACCGTAGCCATCATTTAGCTTTCTGTACAGTTTGTTTGCACTACACTTTTATAGGAGCACCAACCCGGAGATGAGATGTGACCGATCCGTTTTACCAGTTTGCATGGCAAGTAGGAGCTCACTCTTCCCCCGACAGCAGACATCACTTAAGTTGTAATCAACATCACAATCCTCTGCACTGATGTTACTAAAACACAGCTCTCTGATGAACAAGTTCATCTGGAGATCCAAGACTGAGTAACTAGCAGATGAATAACATGACTTCCTGTAACCAACCAGCTCAGACATCCCACACTGTTTCCACTGATCAACCGCTGCGGTGACGCACAGAAAGCTAGCCGGCTAGCTAAAATTACAAACAACCTTAAGACAGGAAATACAACTGCTCACGTCTCAGAGCCATGGCAAACTGTTACTAACATGATCTCCACATACACTGTATAAACAACTAACATGCTGTTTACACACAGTTTTAACAGAAAGACTGGAAGTGAGGTTTAAATGAAGTTATTGTAAGATGATGCAGACTGCTTACCTTGTACCACGAGACAAGAAAACATTAAACAAAGATGGCGTCCCACACCTCAAAACTACGGTGTCCCACAGCGGCCGCATGCATAACTGTATGTGAACATGTATGTACAGTATATGCCTGATGATATGCATATATGTATGTGTGTGTGTGTGTGTGTGTGTGTGTGTGTGTGTGTGTGTGTGTATATAGTTGACTTTTCAAGTTTCTAGTTTTCAGTTTCGGTTTACGGTACAGCATGGTAAGGAGTAGGAAACTACAGAACCACAGGCAGGGTGAGTGTTAATACAGCAATGCTGTTAGTTTCCTGTCAGAAAGTCAGTAAGTAAGTTTTCCTGCTGTGGGCTGTAGAGTAGAGGGAGGAAGAGTCAGAATGAACTTCGGTCCATACAAAGACACTGAGAGAAAAGGGGGAGATTGAATAGCTGTGTGTGCGTGCAGACCGATGTGACTTCTTGTAAATGGAGCGGGGAGGAGCAACTGAAAATGAAAGCGTTCAGTCAGTTCAAAATCCAAGTGGATAGCGCAGCGGAAGGGAAACAACAGAAGGCTGAGGCAGCGTGAGTGTTAATACAACATGTGTTAAAGATTAAGATTAAGATTTTGGCCGCTTGAATGTGTTACTGCTCTCCCTCTCAGACCGACTGAAGTCCAGAAGATGAGTGTTTGCGTGGAGGAAGAAGACAGAACAGAGTCTCCAGGATCCAGCTGTCCGTCTATGAAGAGTGACAAGTCCAAACACTTACCTGTAGAATTCAGTAATGAACGTGGAGCCTCAGACACAAAGTAAGAGAACTTTATAAACTCAGTTGTAACTCATTTAATTAATACCGCTAATGATATTTTTATGCCCAGCCAGGGTCACTACCGCTTTTATACAGCTGAAGCACTGTGTGGGGAAGCTTTTCAGCTAGTTTTGGTGTTCTAGCTTTTAAAGTTTTTGACATATTTTAATTTTTCTTCATGTTTTGCCCATTTGCCAGTCTATCACAACCATTCACACTCATTCCCACCTACATGCAATTGAGAGACCAATTATACCAATATGCACAAGAACAAAACAATGATATGTGTGCTTTTAGTTAAAACAGATTGTGTTTGTTTATAAGTGTAACTTGGATGAAGATCTGACCATATTTAAGGACAAATGTATACATGAATAGGAAATTCCAAAGGGTTCAAAGGGACTTTTTCTTGCCATTATACATGTCTTTGGACTAGTACCCGGACGGGAGAACATGCAAACTCCATACAGAAAGGTCCCAGCTGGCTGTCAGTTTCAAACCCGCAACCTTCTTGTTGTGAGGCAACAGTGCTAACCACTGCACCACCCATAGAAAACCTATTATTATTCTTTCCCAGTAATTTTACAGTCTTACTTTTTAAGATCACTTCTACCCTCGATGAAAACCTAACTAACCCAAGCTGAGATGCACAAAGTGACTGTAAAACAGTGAAGGACATGATCAGCTCCCTTTATGGGAAGGCTTTTACTTTGAAGTAGCTGCAGGAAGTCTTGAGTTTGTGTTGATAGCAAACTCCAGGCAGATCACTAAATGTTTAATAAGACAAATATGAAAACAGTTAATTAGTGTTTATCAAAGCAGAGGAGTTGAAATCAAAGGAACAATCGTTTTCATTACAGACTGAATTCAAACAGAAGAGTAGCTGCATTTTTACTGCTCTCTGTGACCATCTGAGCTTCTACATGGTGATAGACACATCTGGATATTTTTCAACAGTAGTCAACAAGTTATTTATGTGTTCACAGGGAGAGGACAAAGAGCGGCGTTACTATGGAGCAGCCGCTGTTGTTCTGTGCTCTGTGTCAGGACGTCCTGAAGGATCCAGTCTCTACTAGGTGTGGACACCGGTTCTGCAGACAGTGCATCACCTCATACAGGGACCAGTCTGATCCATCAGGAGACTTCTCCTGTCCCCAGTGTGGACAAAGATTCAGAACAAGACATGGACCGCAGACAGTTAGTCAGACCAGCATTATACAAAGTAAGACTGAACATCTGTCTGCTGATGTCATCATTTCTGAAAATAAACTTTTTATACAGTGCTATTTGTTAAATCACACGGCGTTGAGATTTAAGATTATTATAAATACCGCCAAATTAAAAACCTTAACTTAACTTGTCTTTAGTTTTTCTGCAGCTGATGAAAGTAATTGGCAGATTCCCAGATTCTCTTTCCTTAGTCTGACATTGTCTCTTCTCTTTCAGCAGATAGTGGTCTGCAGGAGGTTTTAGATCAACATAAGATCAGTCTGAGGAGCAGATGTGAACGTGTGACTGAAGGAACTGATGGAACAGGAAGTCAAACCCTCCTCAACAGGATCTACACTGAGCTCTACATCACAGAGGGACAGAGTGAAGAGGTTAATACCCAACATGAGGTGAGGCAGCTGGAGACAACTTCCAAGAAGAAGACCCTCCATGACACTCCAATCAGGTGCCACGACATCTTTAAAGCCTTACCTGACCAACAGAGACCCATCAGAGTGGTTCTGACGACCGGCGTCGCTGGCGTTGGAAAAACCTTCTCAGTGCAGAAGTTCTCTCTGGACTGGGCAGAGTGCTTGGAGAACCAAGATGTCGGTCTGCTGGTTCTGCTTTCGTTCAGGGAGCTGAACCTGATCAGAGATCAGCAGTACAGTCTTCTCAGGCTGCTCCATGTTTTCCATCCAACATTACAGAAGGTCACAGCAGAGCAGCTCGCTGTCTGTAAAGTTCTGTTCATCTTTGACGGCCTGGATGAAAGCAGATTTTCACTGGATTTCAACAACAGGAAGTCTGTGTCTGATGTCACACAGGAGTCATCAGTCAACGAGCTGCTGACAAACCTCATCAGGGGGAATCTGCTTCCCTCGGCTCTCGTCTGGATAACTTCCCGACCCGCAGCAACCAATCAGATCCCTCCTACATGTGTGGACAGGGTAACAGAAGTACGAGGCTTCACTGACGCCCAGAAGGAGGAGTACTTCAGGAGGAGATCCAGTGATGAAGAGCTGTCCAGCAGAATCATCTCACACATCAAGACGTCCAGGAGCCTCCACATCATGTGTCAAGTCCCAGTCTTCTGCTGGATCACTGCTACAGTTCTGGAGCACATGTTGACCACAGACCAGAGAGGAGAGCTGCCCCAGACCCTGACTGACCTGTTCTCACACTTCCTGCTGGTTCAGACACAGAGGAAGAAGCTCAAGTATGATAAGGGACATGAGGCGAGTCCACAGGAGCTGACGGAGGCTGACGGGGAAGTTCTTCTGAAGCTGGGGAGGCTGGCGTTTGAACATCTGGACAAAGGAAACATCATGTTCTACCAAGAAGACCTGGAGCAGTGTGGTCTTGGTGTCACAGAGGCCTCGGTGTACTCAGGACTTTGTACTGAGATCTTCAAAAGAGAGAGTGTGATCTTCCAGAAACCAGTCTACTGCTTTGTTCATCTGAGCGTGCAGGAGTTTCTGGCTGCAGTCTTCATGTTCCACTGTTACACAGAGAGAAAGAGACTGACAAACATCCTGCAGGACTACCTGGAAAAAGACCACAGTGACCCATCTCTGGATGTTTTCCTTAGAGGAGCCATGGAGAAATCCCTTAACAGTAAAAATGGTCACCTGGACCTGTTTGTCCGCTTCCTTCATGGCCTCTCTATGGACTCCAACCAGAGACTTTTAGCAGGTCTGCTGGGTCACACAGAGAACAGTCCAGGAACCATCCAGAGAGCCATCACCAACCTGAAGGAGATAAACAGAGATACAATCTCTCCTGACAGAAGCATCAACATCTTCCACTGTCTGATGGAGATGAAGGACCAATCAGTTCATCAGGAGATCCAAAAGTTCCTGAAGTCAGAGAACAGATCAGAGGAGAAACTGTCTGAGATCCACTGCTCAGCTCTGGCCTACATGCTGCAGATGTCACAGGAGGTTCTGGATGAGTTGGACCTGGAGAAGTACAACACATCAGAGATGGGACGACTGAGGCTCGTTCCAGCTGTGAGGAACTGCAGAAAGGCTCGGTGAGTCAGCATGTGATTAACATTATGAATCATCATTCGAGACATTTCTACAATTGTCGTATAATATTTCACGTCACACACAGTGAGATAAGAATAGTTGAACCAGTGATGAAGAGAAAATAATCAAAACAGGGTATGTGAAACTCTTTTTGTCTTTCATAATGACACATTTTGTAATTTATGTGTCACGGCAGACTTACTGATTGTGGACTCTCAGAGACTCATTGTGAAGTCGTGGCCTCAGCTCTGACGTCCAGCCCTTCCCATCTGCAAGAGCTAGACCTGAGCAACAACAACCTGCAGGATTCAGAAGTGAAGCTGTTGTCTACCGGACTGGAGAATTCAAACTGCAGACTGGAGGCTCTGAGGTCAGTTAACGGTCTGGAAATGACTGTAGGAGAAGAAAGTACTTACTGCAAAAAGAACTGCAAAAAGAAGGCAGGTCACAGTGATTCAGAGCAAGTTTATAGTTTTTAAAAAGCTTTTGTTCCCAAACGAATCATACTTCATTTAAGAATCATCTTAACTTTTTTAAGTTTAGAAATTAAACATTGAGTGTATGTGGAGATCTTTCGATCATACAGTTCAGTAAAGTTTTAAAAGCTCTAATGAAGTAAAAAACAGGGATGTGTGCAATTAGTCTGCTAAATGATTAAACATCGTGAACCTTGCTAGTGGGCACCAGAACTACTAGTCAGTTAAACTTGTATTGTAATCGTAATTGTATGATGAACATACTATTGACTTGCCCATTAAAGAAATTGTGATGAAATGTTTGTGTAGCTGTCAATTATAGTTCTTAGAAAGAAACTTGGAATCAGCCAAGAAAATTGCAGTCTCGCGGTCTCTAGCTCTAACCCGTGAGCAGTGATGTATGAAAAAAACACGCAAACAGACGAAAACTCACCATGAGACTTTTTGCAGCTGCTTTGATTCTGGGAGTGACCTGTTTCCATTAATCTTTAGTGGGATTTTGGCCATTGTGTTGTTTGAGTTTGCATATTAAACACTGATGGGAAAGACAGGAAAAGACTTGTTTTTCGCTTCTGATTTTTGAAGTAATTGATTAATTAATGATTTCATCTATATTATTTATTCTTTATACAGATTGGTGAACTGCAGTTTGTCAGAGATCAGCTGTGCGTCTCTGGCCTCAGCTCTGAAGTCCAACCCCTCCCATCTGAAAGAACTGGACCTGAGTCTCAACAAGCTGCAGGATTCAGACCTGAAGGAGCTCTGTGGTTTTCTGGAGAATCCAGACTGTAGACTGGAGACTCTGAGGTCAGTTCACTATTGTAGATCACATGATTAGAATTTGGCGGTCAAAGGTCAAGGCCATAGCAAAGGTCAAAAGCACGTTTTTTTGGATGTCATATCTCAAGACGTCCCAGAAGGAATTTCTTTACATCTGGCACAAACATTCACTTGGAGGCAAGGATGAACTGATTAGAATTTGGCAGTCAAAGGTCAAAGGTCAAGGTCACTGTGACCTCACAAAAAAAGTTTTTGGCCATAACTCATTAATTCATACGCTAACTATGACACAGTTTAAAACGAATGTCTAATAGGATAAAATTATGAAGTGATGACAGTTTATATCCCAAAGGTCAAAGGTCAACTTCACTGTGACATCAACAATGTTCTGCAAAAACACATCTGACCATTATTCAATGCTGTTACTTTGTGACTAAAGATTGTGACCATATTTCCTGCAACTTCTAGCTTTAAACGTTAAACTTCTAGCTTTAAAATGTTAAATGTTTTTCACTTTAAACCATTCGGAACATGTTCTATCATGTTTTTTGTCTGATTTGATATTTATCCTCTAGTTACAGACTTGTATTGTGTATGAATGTTGTCAGAATCAGAACCAGCTCAGTCAGACAGCAAGTGTTATAAAAGATATAAATATAATACAAATATGTACAATATGCAATATGGATGGGGGAATGTGCAATAGTTACAGGATGAAGAAACAAGTTGTGGTGACACCTGGATGATGTCTGTAGAAGGCCAACATTATGATGATCCACAATAACAGAAGGACAAAGTCACTTTACTCATATTAGAGAGAAAATCATTGTTTAGTACATATCTGATTGATTATCAATGATATCGATATGATTTATTGTTTATTCAGATTGAGGTCCTGCTGGTTGTCAAAGATCAGCTGTGCTTCTCTGGCCTCAGCTCTGAAGTCCAACCCCTCCCATCTGAGAGAACTGGAGCTGAGAGGAAACAACCTGCAGGATTCAGACCTGAAGGAGCTCTGTGGTTTTCTGGAGAGTCCAGACTGTAGACTGGAGACTCTGAGGTCAGACACCATTTTTTAGTTTTGTGCAGAGATGAATATGATGTGAAAGTTGTAGTGACACTAACCTGCAGACATATTATACTGTTCTTCACTAGAGCAAAATCCTCAAAAATATTTATTTTCTATTCCTAAACAAATGTATTAGACATTAGATCTTTTATGAAGATTATGAACATTGAGAGCTCTTTTTCACTGTTTGTATTTGTCTGTTTTTAACCTGCATCCTGTTGTTTTTAGGTGTTGGGAGTTTCCATTCTCTAAACTTCTACATTTGATACTTCATTAGCTCTATTTTATTCTTTATTCAGGTTGGGTTACTGCAATTTGTCAGCGAACAGCTGTGCTTCTCTGGTCTCCACTGTGAAGTCCAACCCCTCCCATCTGAAAGATCTTGAGCTGGGTCACAACAAGCTGCAGGACTCAGGAGTGAAGGAGCTCGGTGGTTTTCTGGAGAGTCCAGACTGTAGACTGAAGACTCTGAGGTCAGGCACCATTTGTAGTTTTTTTTTTTTACTTTGATTTCTTTAGTTTTGTGCTGAGATGAATATGATGTGAAAGTTGTGGTGACACTAAACAACAGATGGGTTTATATTTATGAAGTAAAATTCACTTACATTTATAACATTAACAATCAATCAATCAGATATAAATAAAAAATTGAATCTAATTAGATAAAACAAATAAAAGGTAATGACACATAAAATTGATGTGAGGAAATTGTGAGATTGTGAGGAACATTTGAAAACATGAAAACAAAATAAATAAAGAATTAGTATAAAGTAATAAGCATAAAACATTTTAAAACCAGGCTAAAGCAGTTTTAAGTTTGCATTTAAAGATATGTGTCATCAGCACAGCTAAGGAAAGAGACAGCGTTTCCTGATGACACTACCATGTGGGAACATACACAGATTAAAAAGTAGTGGCCCTAAAATCCATCCTTGGGGAACCCCAAAAGTTGTTTTATAGCTAGCAAAGAACTCTTTGCCAGAGATTAAATTAAGGTTTTCAACCTTCATTTAACAAGAAAAAAAAACCTTCACTGTTTAAAACACATGAAACTTTTTTTCCACACTGACATTAACAAATTCATATTCAGTATTTCCTTTATGAAGTCATGTGACTAAAGTGAAACCCACGCAGATACTCAGACCAAACACCCTGTTTATTAAATGTCGTCACCACTGCATGAAGTGAAAAGGTTTTAGATTTTATGTGAATCATCAGTCAATCAGTATAAACACAGAGCTCACTGTGATTCAGAGCCAGAACTGTGTGTAGTTATTTGTCCTATGATGACATGATGATAAATTCCAAGTCTGCTTTCTCCAGATGTGATCCAACATTATTATTTTGTTTACGAACGAGCGATCAAAGGGAATAAAGAATGGAAAATCAGAATTCCCAAACCCACAATTGTACGCCACATGTTTTACTGATCTCAAAGTGTCACAAAGTGCTGTCCCATTCCTCGTTACACCATTTGACCCCTTGCAGCCTGTCGCACTCAGAAACGTTGAAAAGTTTCAAGCAGGAACTTTGTCTTCTAAAGTCACATGTTTTATTCTTTATTCAGATTGATGGACTGCAGTTTGTCAGAGATCAGCTGTGCGTCTCTGGCCTCAGCTCTGAAGTCCAACCCCTCCCATCTGAGAGAACTGAACCTGAGTCACAACAACCTGCAGGATTCAGGAGTGAAGCTGCTCTGTGGTGTTCTGGGGCATGCAGACTGTAGACTGGAGACTCTGAGGTCAGACTCCATTTTTTAGTTCTGTGCTGAGATGAATATGATGTGAAAGTTGTGGTGAAATATTAAATGTTTTCTGTTCATTATGAAACTGTGTTTGGCACTGATCAGACTGTGTCAGAGGACGTCAGTAGAGTAGGCGGTCCTTCACTGTGGCCCAGGACACGTGTTCACACTGCTGAAAGGATGTGGATACACGTGGCGCAAACCACCTCTGAATGTGGTCTGAGGGATCGGATCTCAAATGTGTCCTCAATGCGTCTTGGGTGCGTTCATACCTGAACTTAAAGCTGCTCACTTGTGGTCAGATCACGCTTTTTTTCCTCACATCCACACCGCCAACAAATCAGAATGAACTGGGTGTGAATGTCAGATTATCAATTTCAGAAACTTTACAGAAATTGTCGGACACAGACCCGCTAATCTGACATCAGAAGGGTGTGTGGAGGTTTTGATCTCTTAAAAAAAAGGAAGTTTGCTAATGTTTAAGTTGCTTTGAACAAAAGAGACATGACAGTAATGTAATCTCTGATTCAACAAACCGCAGGTGTGTTGACTGTCTCCAGCTTCTAAACTCTGAAGACAGACTTTGGTAACACTGAAAAAATGAAAGTGCTGGCATTGTAAGTGTGAAAACAATGATTTCAAACTGTATTACATATTTGATTTTAAACCTCAAGTTAACACTTTCAAACATTTCTTCCAAACTGTCAAGTTGATTTTGGTTTTAATGTCATAATTTTCGAAGGCGGTTTGACCACAGAGATTTTATGCTGATTCACACTCAGCATCTTGTTGAGCTTCATATTTAAAAGATATATATTGTAACATTTAAAATCCAACACTTGCTGATTCACTTTTTATTTTATAAGTATTTCAGTCTCACCTTTAATTTATCCTTTTATTTCTTCAAATAAAAACAAACATAATATTCCACAAGACTAAGACAGTAAGAAATATTTTGTCAGTATTTGCTTTATGATGTGTGATGTTTACACAGGTGTTGAACAGTTTCAAGCAGGAACTTTGTCTTCTTTGTCTTCATTCAGATTGATGGACTGCAGTTTGTCAGAGATCAGCTATGGTTTCCTGGCCTCAGCTCTGAAGTCCAACCCCTCCCATCTGAGAGAACTGGACCTGAGTCACAACAACCTGCAGGATTCAGGAGTGAAGCTGCTCTGTGGTGTTCTGGGGCATGCAGACTGTAGACTGGAGACTCTGAGGTCAGACTCCATTTTTTAGTTCTGTGCTGAGATGAATATGATGTGAAAGTATTGGTCATCCTAAACTGCAGACATAAGGCAGGTATTAGGCAGACCAGATCCACAGCGAGTATCTTTAATGGCTGTTTATTCCTCAGTAGTTTAATTCAGTTACTGTGGCAGAGTAATATTGAGCCACAGATTTAAAACCATCATTTAACAAGAAAAAACCTTCACTGTTTAAAATACATTAAACTTTTTTTCCCCACACCGACAAACACTCTCTGAACAGATTCTGAAACACTGAACTTTGTCTTCTAAAGTCACATGTTTTATTCTTTATTCAGATTGGTGGACTGCAGTTTGTCAGAGATCAGCTGTGCGTCTCTGGCCTCAGCTCTGAAGTCCAACCCCTCCCATCTGAAAGAACTGGACCTGAAAGGAAACAAGGAGCAGGGTTCAGGATTGACGCTGCTGCAAGGTTTTCTGGAGAATCTGAGGTCAGTTAAGGGTTGGAGTCAGTCCATGCTGTTTTCAGTAGTATTGTAGTAAATACAGTTACTGTCTAGTATCTCACTCACTGACTCGAGTTGCAATGATTAGCTGAGTAGCATCATGTGACCCATGGCGCAAAAACTAGAAAAGCCTCACCGGTTAAAACAGAAAACGCTCAAAATTGAATAATTGTCAATAATTTATAGCTTATAGGTCCAGGTCCAGGGAGGACAGCATCTGGGTCTGGACCTGGACCGCAGTCCACCTAGTGACCTCAGCCAGTGGCTAACATTACGCAATCTACCACTTGTGACTGGACAATCTTTTTCCAAACAAGTAGGACCTTTAACGTCTGTCTGTCCATAAATTGTTTTGTTTAAATATTTTCAATAGAAGTTTCTCTATTAGTTTTACTTATATCTCAAAAGCCAATCAGATGTTCAAATCCCACAGACACACAATGACTTTTAAATGCAACATCAGTAAATCCATCACTTAACTGCAGTAATGAAACCTTCATGACTCTCAGCAGCTGCTATTTCCACCGTGGACATGAGTGAACGGACTTGATGCTAAAAGTCTCTGCAGGTCTGTGAGCTTCCAGCTCAGTGTGTTCACTCCAGCACGGTAACATGAGAGCTGGAAGGAAGCAATCTACGCTCCTCAGCTGCTCCACTTCTGGTCTGAGCAGGACTGAAGTCCCTGCTGCTCCTTATGCTGAATGTGCTGCATCACTGACTGACGGCTGATGAATCGAGTCTCTGTGAACACTGATTTATCACCTCTGTTGTCTTCTCTCAACAGATGGAAGTGATGATCTTTTTAAACGTGAGTGGTCGAGGCTCCGACTGGGCCATGTTACTGGGAGGTAATAGAGTGGAGAGGAGAGCTTCACTCTGAGACTCCTGACTCTCAGTGCTGCAGCCTGAACTGATCTGAGAACAGCTCCACTGTTAGACACATGTTCAGTCCACCATCATCCCTGTGTGTTCCTCTAGATCATCATCAGTGAATCTGGACTGCTCTGCTGCTACTCTGCCCTTCTACACACTCTCTGCAGACACACTGAGACTCCTCCACCTCCTCCACCTGGACTTTATCTGGTCTTTTTTATTTATTTAGATATTGTGAACCCAAACTGACTGCAGATCAGTTCTGTTTATGACAACATAGCTGTAGATTCACACTAAATGGTCTCAAGGTTGAAACTATGTAGAATCAGATGCTTTTACAGTATTGTTTCATGTTGCAGTCCCACCATGTAGAATGATTATTGTATTGTATATTGTAATGAGTATTATAGGTAATTTCCACATTACATTTCTAAACAATCTTATAAGTTTAAAGTATTTAAAAGCAACATCTGACCTGCACAGTTTTTACTGGGCTCCTGAAAACCACTTCGAGACTTCAGCTCATTCAAAACTAGTTCTCCTCCATATACACAAGGCCTTTTAATGAGCTATGACCAAGTTATATTGTTAGCTCCCTGACTAACTATACAGTATACTACACCTCCAAGAACACTGACACTCGTCAGCCTTTGTCAATTACTCCCCAAAGCCGTGAAACACACTATGTATAGATATCGGAGAAGCCAGCTCACTTAATATTAATATTTTGTTTTATTGACTTTGACTTGACTTTTATGGATTGCACTTTTACTAGCGAAAGTGTAATTTGTTCCATTTTTATTGATTTTATTGCTGACTGACGGGTTGCTTGATTTTAAAATATTTATGGATTCATTCCTTTTTTTATTTTGTTTTCATCACCGCCTTGCTGGTGACACTGCTTCTAGTTTTATTTGCACCATAATATAAAGACACTTATTCTATTTATGAATGCTTGAATTAACTCTGTTGCCTTGTATGACCTGCCTGTCTTATCCTGCTGCTCTGTGTAAAACACTTCGGAAAAGCGATTTATAAATAAAGATAATTAGGAGTCCATGCCCAAGTTGCGAACCCTACAGTAATCACTCAGATTTTCGATATTATTTTTATTTTTCCGTTGTTGAATGTGGTACTGCACCGTAAAAGTTATGTAAGTGAAATTATCAGGGGTGGTATAGAATGGTCCACGAGCAGGTGCTGCTATAATCAAAGGGTGTTTTGGCCAGTAACTCCCACATTGTACATTCAAAAACTTTACAGCCACATGTTCCCTGAATGTAGCCGAATCTCTTGGTATAGGCCATTACCATTTCCACCTATTCCACAAAACTTGATGAGATGCATAAGGCACAAAAATGTGCAAAAGTGTGTTTCCAAATCTTAAACCCATTAAGTCAGGTACTCTTGCCATGATGTTAAATGAGAAAATACTATTTATAAAGACTAACATTCTATTTTAAGCCATTTTTCCTTGGAACATGGCAATTTTCACGTCTGTATTTAACAACTTGACATTTGTGTCGAAAATATCACCAATAAATGTTGTGTTTTTTATCAAATCTTTATTATTGTCAGGATTATATGTGTGTCCCTATGAAAATAAGATTTAAAAAAAATAAAATAAAAACATGCTTTTTTTTTTGTTGAAATGTAATGATTCATGTGTGTCCCTCATTTTGATCTACCACCCGTCACACTAACATGTCTATAAAACATCACAGAGAGTAAGTGACATCATTTGAGGCTTTGGAGCAGCCAGGAACTAAAGCAGGCAAATTCTGACCGGCACATAACAAATGTCTAAACAGCTGGTTTGTCTTCTCATCAGAGGAAGCTGAACTGGAAGTGGTTTTCTGGCATCATCATCATCACCATCATCATCATCATCATCATCATCATCACAGCCCATTTGAGAACTAAGGATGTCCGTGCAGTCTCCTTTGTCCATACATGAGGTCCTCCTTCTGTGGGCACCAGTCATTCAGTTTTCACTGTGGATTCCTCTGAATGACAGTAAAAGACAAACGCTTTAGTTCAGACACGGTGGATCACAGTTAATCACACACATATACCAGCTGTCAGGACAGGTGCATGAATACCTGCTTCAGTTGAGGACTTCTGTGTATGAATTTACAGTGTTCAATGACAAACCCCTACAAGATAATGTTCTAGTATACATTGTGTGTTGTACTCAATACGATACCAGCGAGAAGAGGAGACAGAAAATAAGTTAATGAGATAAACCTGAATGTTTTGCTGCATGTAGGAAAATCCTATCAGCCGCATGAGAGTGAGTTAATTGTTCAACTATATTTATCCTTGTCCTGCAAATGTTTGCATGTTTATGACAAGGTACGGTTGCCATAGCAAACACTAAGTAATCAGCTAGCTAGCTAGCTAGGTTAGCAAAGTGCATTTGTAATTCACATTAACTCTAATATTAATTTGGATGTTAAGTGTCTCCTGTTCTCCGGTCAAAACACGTTGGGGCATCATACACGTTAAAACTGTAGGACGTTAAAGAAAATAAACATTTACTTACCGAAAGAAACTGTTTATCAGCGTCTCTCCAGTGTGTTAGTGCCGAAGAACGAGCCATAATTACTGTGAACCAAAAACTCATTAAAACTTAAGAACTGACAGCATAACTGTGAGTGCAAAACTTCTTCCTCCACCGACAAATATTGAGGAAAATAATAGAAATTTAACACAACTGATTCAATACGATGAGCACGCGACCCAAGCTCCCCTCAGGTGATCGACCTCCCGGCCTGCCGCGTCAGCTGATCAATAATTGCAGACCAGGCATATCAATAAAACAGACGCGCCCCCCCCCAAAGTGTGAGTTTAGCCCATCAAATTGCAGACCAGGCATGTCAATAAAACAGACACGCCCCCCCCCCCCTTCTTAAAAAGAAGCAGCCATATTTTAACAAAAAGATTCAACTTATTAAATGGATATGTACAGCACATTCCTGAATCAAAACAGCAAGTCATTATCTTTTAATATTGAGAATTCTCTTTCCAAAAAAAAAAAAAAAAAAAAAAAACAACAAAACAACAACAACAAAAAAAAACAAAAAACAGATATACAACAGGTGTGCTTCCATTTCCAAAATGTTTTAAAACTTCCCCTTATTGCACCAGAGCCTTATAGACTTGAGTCCCAGGGTCGGTGTTAAGACAGAGATCAGCCTTAAAAAGAACACGTATAACATACTATAGACCTGCGTCCCTCAAAACAAGGACAAAGTAAATATGATTTACTCATCGCTACAGCTGCTTCCATCACTGTAGCTTCACCACAAACATTATTCAAACAATAATTATTCAGATTGCTTAGAAAAGACCCTAAGATGTCTATAAAAAGGGTATCCATAAAATCCATAGCTCGAACATAAAAAACACAAAAAAAGATCTTTAAAATGGAGAGATTTTATCTGCATGTGTAAACAAATCCAGAAGTGTATAGAGGGGTACAATAAAGCCCAAAATGTAATTCTCAAAAACCTCTCAGAGACTGATTATATTCAATTTAGTGGACACATAATGTAAATATATGAATGGTTTAAATATATCAGTATATGTTATGCAGGTTACAATGTTCTTCGGCTGCATTTACACAGATACAAAAATAACCTTATAGTACAAAGTGTTGTCTCTATGTCAACGCTTATTTTTTTCTGTCTCATCGGTCACCAGCTGTGTGTGGTTCTCCGATCCACCACACACACCTCTTAGTGACACACTTAAGGTCCCTAAGAGTACAAACAATAACAAAGGTTTCAGATTGAAATGAAAATGTCTGACAAACAATATTGTAACATGACTTCTGTCACGTGTCAGGTATTTTCACACAATCAGTAAAGATCCATATTTTTGGTTTGTATTTATGTATTTCCATTCAAAATATCCAAAATACAGGGTATTATAAACTTGTTGAGCTTCCACATTCACAAGAAAACTGTTTAATCTTAGTGGGAGCAAGAAAAGAGACAAAAAAAGGTTGGTTTCTTTCTGCACCTGTGTAAAATCAGCCATAATTTCCTGACACATTTCAATTAAAAGCACAAATCTGAACTTCGTATCAAGTTGTTTTTTTTTTAGAGTCTGGCAGTGTAAATGATCCTGTAGGTCCAACAGAACTCGGTAAATCTAACAAATTAGTTTGTAGACTGCAGCATTAAAATAATAAGGACTTCACAGGGTCCAGTTCATAAAAATAAAATGAAAATATAAAAATCCTCTGGAGATTTGAACTCTTGTTATTGTAGGTCGAGTCAGACTCTGGGTTATGTGCTGGTGTAAAACAGCTCTGCAGTGGCAATGTAATCATATATGTGATGGTGTGTGTGTGTGTGTGTGTGTGTGTATATATAGGGGGTGTGGGCTGTATTCCAATCAGTTCTTCAATGTGTCCAGACTTTATTTTGGAGGTGTCGTTCACAGACGCTAAAAAAAAAAAAAAAGTATAAAAATGCAGCAAATGTCTGAGGGAAATAAAAGGCTGTGAAACTTGATAATGTGATATTAATGATCACAATTAAATGGGAAACATTAAAACAGATAATCAATATCGGCCTGATTAACACCACTGATCCAAACCTGACAAAGCAGATGTATTTTGATACAAATGACTGCAATGATTCATAAACTGTGAGCAGTATGTAGAAGTGAAGCCACGACAGAAGGCTGCTATTTCTGCACCAACTCTCCCTAAAAAAAAACAAAACAAGGCCAACAGTTTTCTAAAAATACGTCCATGTAAATAACTTAGTGTGTCTACCATTATTCAGCGAGAGAGAGAGAGAGCGAGAGAGCAAGAGAGCGAGAGAGAGAGCGAGAGAGAGAGAGAGAGAGAGAGAGAGAGAGAGAGCGAGCAGCAGCCACTGCAGTGCAAATCTGAGTCTAATGTATGAAGAGGGCGTCTACCATAGCTACATGTCCCTGAGAACCAAGATCTAACTTTTGATTCAAGAGGGTTTCCAAAAATATCAAGGGCACTGTGTGACCAGGAGCATGATGGATCTCAACAAATCAGCATTCAGACGTACGTTCTCAGTCTGTCACCATAATGTCTCCTGTACAAGGCAACGCTTAACAGAATAAAAACATCCAGACCACATTTATTTCTGTTTTCTATCGGCTGTAGTTGTACCCAAACAGAAACATCTGTGGAGAAACTGTAAATCTGACTCAGATGATTCAGGCTTTAGTTACTGTAAAATACCTGTTTTCCAACATGAGCCATGTGTTATGTTTCAACATGGTGGTTTCAGATGTAACATCAAATGAAGACGACGCACTTCCGAGGCAGTGCTTCACTTCACGAGATCTCAACATTTCTATATCGGGAGCCTAAAGTTCAGGAGTCTAAAGGATCAGTTATGATACGACGCTGTACTCACAAAACTTGCTCAGACAGTAAATCAGATCATGGGATCAGCTACCGCTGTATCTGGAGGGAAAACTGAAGGTGAGCACACCTGAAATGTTGCTAATACTCCCTCACTGCACACAAAAACTGAGAGTGCATGAACTACAGCAGCAGCTTTGTGGATGGATGTTTACACTGGACAATAATTGGGAATAATGTTACTGCTCACCTTGGTTTTCTCTCTTAGAAACATTTGACGAACCTGGTTTCCGTTTACAACCAGTGTGATCGCCTAAGTGCTTGTATTTGCCGCCTCGCTGGACAAAAGGGGATGTTGCCTCGGTCGATGTTTGTAGCGATGTTTCGTGATATCAGCAATTACTTCATTAGTAATTAGGACCCATAAAAAATAAACTGCAAGCTGAAATAAATCTTAGTTTTCCTTTACATGTTTCAAAGAGGAATTCTGGTCCACAATAGTAACCTCTTTTACTCTGAAAAAGAAAAACAGGACGTATGGCTGCATCCCAGAATGCACCCTTCCTTTTCACCACAGTACGTTAAGTCTACAGAAACCTGTAGGATCACTCTGGACACAAACAAAAAAAAAAAAACTTAAGAAGGCAACATCTCAGAGGGAGTTTACAACTACAATAGATAGGTTTGACAGACGTTTACAACGACAACACTGAGTGAGCAACAGAGGGGCGATGGAGTTCAGTCACATGGTGGATAATTAAGAAATGCGTTTAGAGGCAGATGCGTAAAACAAGAGGAGAAAGTTTCCTCTGTTTCCTTGTTTCAGTTGAAGCTGCTTTCAATGTTTTAATGATGAGCGAACAGAAACTTTGATCAGAGATGCCGAGTCAGGCGTTGAAACAGTAACTTAAAAACACTACACACACACCTCTGTCCTCACACACTCACACACACTCACTCACTCACAAACCCCAGCTCATCACTCTGAGACTTTAGCCGCCTCGAAGTTGACAGCCAGCTTCCTGTGCTTCCTCTTGGAGGCGGAGCCAGGGGTGTGGCCTGTTGACGGGTTGTTTTGTCGAGGGGGCGTGTGCGGGGCTGCTGTCATCGTGGAAATGGCATCTGCTAGGCTGGCGCTGGACGAAGAGGGGTCACTGTTGGCGGCGTGTTGGCGTGGCTGGTCGACTTTACCGCTCAGTGGTTCACTCTGAAAGTGTGATTGGCCAGAGGGCGGGTTCTGGGCCCTCTGTGATTGGTTCCTGGCCACGGTGTGGGCGGCGCTGTAAAATTCTCGAGTTTCCTGGTTCTTCTTATTGGCTGAGACCCGCTTCTTGGTCACCTGTGAGGGGTAGGTTACCATGACAACAGCATGACTGCAACAGCCACTCGCCTCTACAATTATTCATCCTTTGTGTGTGTGCGTGTGTGCGTGTGTGTGTGTGTGTTTACCTGTAGCGGGATGAACTGGTTGTGTGAGCCGATGGGCAACGTTGTAGCGGGCTGGGGGCGGGCGGCGCCAGGGAAGGTTCCTGCTGCTCCATAAAAGGGTTGGCTCTGGTGGTGCGGAGGCAGCGCCATTCCCCACAGAGGGGGAGGAGCATAACCCTGGTGGGGCAACAGCAAGCCACCTGGGGAAAAAAGAGAGAGCAACAGATTTAAACTTAAATTTAAATTTTGGGCAATCCCACAAACAGCGACCAAGGAATTGGAGATATGAGGTACAGGCTGGGTAACTACTGCCCTCAAAGAGATGATGTACAACATATGACTAAAATATAAGGAAGGGAAGACTGACCTTGTTGGTTGAAGACCGGGTTCATGGCTCCCATGGGTGGAGGTCGTATCTGACCCACTCCTGGGTATAGAGGAGGTGGGAGGGGGAAGCCTGATCCCACTGAGTTCTACAGACGTACAGGAGGACACAGACAGAAGCTCTGGTTGTAAATCTGATGAATAATTGTCAGTGTTATCCAGACTGATCACACACTGTTTGTCAACCTGTTTAACCATTAATATTTCTTTCTACTTGGAACAGTTGCAGGGTTTTTCTTTGTCTGGACACTCACTAATTGGGAACTGATGGATTATTTGATAGGAGACTGTATCTGTGATTAATTAATGGGGTCCATATAAACTTATGAGCCACTATCCAGAAAGTTACATGTTCATGATTCAATATAATTATAATTAATATAAAAACACATTCTGATTTATTTAGATCAAACTAAGATGACTCACACACTCCACTGATCATTGCTAGCATGCATTCTCTCACACTCTCTCATGGACTAATATATATGTGTGTGTGTGTGTGTGTGTGTGTGTGTGTGTGTGTGTGTGTGTGTGTGTGTGTGTGTGTGTTGTACCAGTCTTTGGAGGGCAAAGAAGGCAGCTTTCTCCTTGGCATCATTTTCTGACTGGCACTGTGGACCGTGAACCATCAACCCATTGGACAGCTTCACCTGACACACGACGAGACCCTGTGGTGACACAAAGGTTTTTAGTGCAAATGTCCAGGAAACACTGACCAAAGAATTGTGGGAAAAGTGGAAATATATGAATTAAAACATACATTTTTAGACATTTGTGCAAAATCTGTCAGATAACAATAATAACTTAGATTTTGAATGGATAGAATTTTCATTATTCATCAATCTACAACCAATAACTCATAATGTCAAAAGCCACTGTAATGCTGTGAAAGACAAATATAAAACACGCTGTACTACCTGTCTGTTGCCTATATAGCTGAAGTCGGGCGGTGCCATGCCTAACCCCACACAGACACACGCCAGCTCTGACACCTTGCTGCTCAGCACAGTGTTGGTGGAGGCGGCTGATGCAGGAGAAGTTAATGCGACCGAGTCACTGTGGGGGACGTTCATCTTTGCCGCTGGAGGAAGAGAAACGGGATGAAAACGAATGAAAATATGGTTCCAGCTGTGTATAGAGACTCTTCCTTGGTTTATATATCTGGTCGCAGCAGCCTGTGGTGCGGGGGTCAGTTACTTACCTAGTTTCTTGGATGATCGTCTCCTGTTCCCCTGCTGACCTCCAGAGGGGGCGGTGTCCTGGAAGGAGGGACTTCCTGATCCAGCACCGTCAATCTTCAGCATCTCCTTCAGTACCAGGGTTCCCTTCTACAGCAACAACCAAAAGCACAAACTAAGTTCAATAATCCTGATCTGCCATAGAGACCCAAGGATGCAAACACCGGACACAAATGAAATGACGGTACACGCATGCGCTTTCTTCAGGATTTAAAGAGATAAATGAAGAGGAAAAAGTCTTTTCTGAAGCCATGCTGTTCTGCTCCCGTCAGCTCTTTATGTCATATGCTACAAGCCTCACACTCAAGCAGTTTGTGCCTCCTGTACTCACCATGGCGAAGGACTGCGGAGACAGAGGGCCGTCTGACTGGCTGGTGGGTGCGGGTGGAAGAGCAGGAGGAGGTGGGGTCTGCTGGCTTCCCGCAGAGATCTTTAGACTGGCAATGAGATCTTCAAACTCGGTGGAAGTCTGAGTGAGAGAAATGAGAGGAGACGGTGGATTGAAGGTAGGGAGACATGATTTCACACAAACACTGTGGACAGAAAACGAGCGACTGGCAGAGACGTTAGACACTCAAACCGTCTCTTACAGCTCAAGGAGGAGAGAAAAGTGTGTGTGTGTGTGTGTGTGTGTGTGTGTGTGTGTGTGTGTACCTTATTGGCTGTGTTCTGTGAGGGGAAAAGAGAGTCGACGTCCTCATTTTTCTTCAGCAGTCTGATGCCACCAACTGGAGCCTGAAAATTACAGACGCACACAAATATAAGTTCAATATCAACACACATGTACATTAGAGAAAATATTTACATCCGCCGTCCACAACATGGCAGCTGTTTACTGCCTTCTGGGAAAGCATACACATGTAGTATAGTGTGTGTGTGTGTGTACTCACAGCTTTGTTGGGGGTTGTGTGCTGGTTCTTCCCCTGCTGCGGGTGTCCTTCCTAGAGTTGGAAAAAAACAAAAAGGTTTTTATTTTTTTTTAGTTTTGACACAGAAATATCTTTAGGATTGTTTTTCAACAACTAACCGTCAGGACAAGATGCTCATTACTCTGCTAACTCAAGCTAACTTTGTACTGTTAAATGTAAAAGTTCCTGGCTGTCTTCTCCTGCTGACGCCTCCTAGTTTTACTATTTATCAACACAAATGTACTTTGCAAATGTGCAACTGCTGATATTGCCATATAGACGTATCTTTTGTTAAAAACATCCAAACACACACACACACACTTACATTATTCTGCCAGTGAGCGGGAGGTTTGTTCGGAGGGCCCGAGTTCTGCAGAGACTGCCACACATTGGTGTACTCCTCTTTACTCTGGATGGAGATGTGGAGATAAGAACAGAAAACATTACGTGACTTCAATTCACAACATGACAACCGCAACTTCACGCACACGATCTGCATATCACAATACAAGACCGTGTGCATTTACAAGGTCACATGGCGAGAAAGCCTGGAGAAGTGAGAACAGCCCGTGACTGTGAGAATACGGGAGACCCTGCACTTACCTTGCCCTGTTGTTTCTGGAGACCCTTAGAGGGAGAGTTCCTGTTGCCCTGGGAGCCCGCCTTCATCACACCTTGTTTGTTGTTATGCTTCAGGTAAGAGGTTGAGAGGTGGAAGGGTGAGAGAAGGAGAAAGAGAGAAAAACAGTTTTGTCATTTAAGCAGGAAAACAATGTGCTCGTAGCGGCACCGTGTGTATTCTCTCCCGTCTTACCTGTGTGGGTATGAAGGGTGACCGCGGCGAATGGTTGAGGCCGGCCAGCTGCCGGTGTGAGTTGAAGTTAGCTCCAGCGGCGGGCTGAGGTTTGACGATGGCGGTGAGTTTGTGAGAGGTGTGATCCACTCGGGCTCCGTGGGAAAGATTGATGAGAGCGCAGGGAGGGAGGCGGTAACCACGAGGCGAGGTACACCTGAGGAGACAGACCAATAACACAGGTGTCAGATGTCCGGTCAGAAGTCAATCTGCTGTGGATACACATATATATTACATGCTACAGTTTTGTTTATGTGTTTACCTGATGTTGAGACCACCAGCAAATTCTTCATCAAACAGCACTTCATACAGAACCTCCGCCTCACGCTCCGCTGAAAGTAAAAACACACAAAATTAACCTTTATATCTTCCACGTGTCCTGTGAGAAGTGCTGAAGCTTTGCAACTGTATAAAGAAATCGGTGGATCAAAGAAGCGATCATGTGCGTGCGCTCACCTCCTTTAATGCCGACAACGGTTCCTCTGAGTCCCAGTGGGACGGTGAAGCTCTCCCTGATGTTGACCACTCTGTCGAACAGGCGATACTCTGCATCCGGGTCTGGAACCACACCCTGCTGCTGCTCCAACGGCTGCACGCAAACACAGACACGTATTCACACAAGTTCAATCACTTGTAAATACACAGTTTATGATCAAATACTCAATTCTCTGACAGAGTAACAAGTGGCACAATACACGAGAGTGTATTATTACACAGCTGAAGATGCGTTGCCCTGGTAGCTATTGGTTATTGGTCACCTCCAAGAACATCCCCCACTAATTGTTGTAACACTCAGTTCTACAAATGAATCACCATATTCATATATTTTTACATGATTTTCAAAACATTTTATGCAATTTCCTTTCTCTTCACGAGATGACGACACAGACACAGCTGCTTATTGTGGAATTGTTCCTCCATACAGGTAAAATGAACTCACCCTGAAGAGCAGATGAGGCTTGACAGTCACACGGACTTTCTTGGTGCTCTTCTTCACCTGAGAGTGAGTTAGCGGACGAGAGGTTAGTGCGTGGCGTCAGTGAGTATGTGCACTATCAAGTGATGTGCGGGAGTCAGAATCTGTGTGCAAATCCAGTCACCTTAGTTTTCTCCACCGCCTCCTCGATCCTCTCCACGATGGCGGAGTCCAGCACCTGCAGATCACATGACGCCCTGCTGATGGAGCTGACCGGGTGACTTTTCAACCACGAAGTGATTTCGGCGACCTTCTCTGCCCTGTGGAAGGTGCATCAGCGTCAGGGTTCACCGATAAATACGCCATCAACTCAGTGAATTCAGAAGATAGAATCAGCTCAATAAAGAAAGTTACTGTTAGTGTTAGTAAGTAAGTTAGTGTTTTACCCATTCTGGTCCTCTCCAGGCCAGATGTCGTCCTCATAGAAAACATCGTCATGACTGTTTCTGGACACCGAGTCGAAAACCTCCGAAAATCTATAAAAACATTTTAAAAAAAAAAACAAACTTTTAACAGGAAGCGTGACAAAGCTTTTGAATTTAATACCACCAGACTTTCAGTGTCATTATCGAGCTGTGAAGAGACAGAGGACAGTGTTATCGTTACCTGTCCAGGTATTCGGCGAGCAGTTCCTCCACAGCAGCTGAGTAGAGCCACTCCTTCTCGGTTCTCTTGGTGTATCCAGGAACCTCCTCATTCTTCTTGTTGAACTTGAGGTTCAGGCCAACGTTAGCTCTTTGCTCCCCACAGGGACTGGACACGAGGAAGAGGAAGAGGAAGAGGAAGAGAAGAGAAGGCAGAAAAACTTCAGGATTTGAAATTAAATTTTCTTTACAACCAATGGAATAAACAAAACTTTAAATATTCACGTTAACAAAAGCCAAATGAACCAGCGATATTTTAATCTAAAATAAATCTATAACACTCACTTCTTCTTAGAGCCTCTCCCAATGAAGATGCTTCCTGAGAAGCGGGAGACGAGGTAGCTGGTGATGCCGAGACGAGACGCCAGAACATATCCAGGACTGTACTTCACACAGTATTTCTATAAAAAACACACACACACACACACACGAGGCACACATGTGTGAGGATGGAAAATACACACAATTTCTCAGCTGAATGCCGTAACAAACTGCGTGTGTGTTTCTTACATGCTGATTCTGGATCAAGGGCTCCAGCTGCGGTTCATGCGGCACGTTGAAGACCACGCGTACGCGGCCATCTTTGATGACGTCACTAGAATCCTGCACCTGTTGAGGCAGGAGGACACATTTCAATAAGACAAACAAGCTGAGGAAGAACGTGTTGCTCTTCACAAATTATACACAAAAATCGAAGGTTTTCTGAAATCAAGCACTAAAATAAACATAAAGATAAAAAAGAACTATAGCAGGAGGAGCTTTTAAAACATCGGTTGCTGTCATGTCCTTACAGGAGAGACACTTGTTCAATGCTCCTCGATGGCAAACAATTCAGAATTTTTCTTATCACAGCCATTAATTATTGAATAATACTGAGTAAAGTTGACCATTACTCTAGTTTGCGTTTGAATACAGACCCAAACTTCTCTCAGTTCCTACAACCGGGATCATAAGAGAAGAGTGAGTCGGCATCATTATAAAATCTGATTTGCATTAAACCATTAATTATTTCTATAAAAAGATAAAGATTATAGAGCTCAGGAACAGCCAGCTGATCACATACCTCTCCCATGGCGCCGTAGTACGGGTTCCCCACCATGAAGACGGAAGTCGCTTGAGGAAAGAGCTCGTCCAAGCTCTTAAAACAGGTCAGAGACGAGTAAAAGGCCTTGATGTCCTGAGAGGACGGAGGGAGACGCAGAATACGGACGAGTGAGTTAGAGAGAGAGAGTAAGTCTCCTCAGCTTCGTGGCCTCGTGGCCCTGCTGCAAAAACACCACAGTTTTATCTGTGCATTCGTTTGTGTTCTGTATATGCAGACATGTACCTTAACCACGGTCTGGTGGGCGAAAGGAAGAACTTGTTTGGCCCACTGTTTCTCTAGTTCCACCACTCCGTTGGCTTTGGGGACATACTTCCATCCTGTCAGCAACTGGCCGTACAAAACCACCTCTGTATCATTCACTATGATGCCTTTCCTCTTGAAGAAACTGCGAGAAAGAAAAATGAGGTTATGAGAGGAAACATGAACAGAGGAAATAAGGCAGACACGATGATTTACCATGATTTTAGAAAAGAACAAGAAAGTAAAACCTGTTGGTTACAATGGCTTTAAAGGTCTTAAAGGCCACAAACGAGAATAACAACATCATTCCAAAACAGTAGTTATGAAAAGATGTTTTAAAACAGCTGTATTTTCTCTGAAAGGGTTTTGTTGTTGTTGTTTTGTGGGCCTTACTATTCAGTGAGTCCCTGGACATCCTTCACCCAATCCTTCTGCTCCTTGTCAGACAGGCAGGTGACTTTGGTGGGAGGAGGAGTGGAGGGTCGGTCATACACTCTCTGGACACCAGGTGGTTCCTCCAGACAAAACCTGCACCACAGGACCAAGATTCATGTTTCACCAAAAAAAAAAAGACAAACTCTGTGCTCCCAGACAACTGGCCGAATCCACATGCTGTACACGCTACATTTGGTGAATGTTGGTGAGGTTGTTCACCATCTGAAACTGTGTAGAATCTGCAAAACTGTCTAACTCTGGTGCCCCCTAGTGGCAGCATCCCAGTGACAGAAAACAGCACCGTCATTCTAATGAACAGTGTGACAAAAATTATTTTCTGTGTATGGGTAGAATCAATGCAGAGCAAAACTCTTGCAAAAGTCAAAACATTATTTTTGAGACATGTTTAACACGTTCAGTGTCATGAATCTAAGGCTTAATCTGCAGTGCTGGTTCTTACTTGGTGTCTCCATCTGACACTGCAATGATACGAGCTTCCTCTAGATGGGGCCAGTTCACAAACACAGACTTCCCCAGTGCTTGTGCAGCAACATCATCACATAACTACAGATGCAGAGAGAGAAACAAAGAACAGAGGCAGACGGTAAGTAAGTGAAAGGCAGAGATATATAACATGTAAGTTCAAAATACAATGTCTGAGAAACAGACAAATATACAGGAAGTAAGACAAGTGCAAACCAAGGTTAAGCTTTTCTTTTTATTTTTGAAGTCTCCTGATCCAAGTCTTTCCTCTAATATAGAGTCCTAATGTGAACTCTGTTTTCCTACATAGTAAAGCTGCACAGTGCACATTACACACATGGTCAGTCGACATTAAAACTAGTAAAACTAATCTTTTGTGGATATCTGCTGACATTTCTTCGGCCACTGTAATAAATAAATGTGTGATACCATCACAAAATTTAAAGCCTTGTATTTTGTTAATTTGATATTTCAAGACTCCTAAGAGAGCTGAAAGACATTTAGATATGACAGACATTTTTCATTAAGGAATATTTTGAGCAATTTCTTATTAATGAATTCTGCAGTAACTATTTTTTGCAGTGTTTTTAAAGAGTGAGATCAATAAACAAACAAAACTTCACCGTTTCTCCTTCTTGGCTGTGAAGGATGTCGAGCATCATGTTCTCCCCTCGGCTGCTCTGCTGGAACACGACCACCCCGCTCTTCTTCTTGAAAAACTGCAGAGAGAGAGCGAGCCATGGTACCAATCAGCTGATGGGCTTTATTTGGTTCAGTTTCTTTTCACACAGAAAAATCCAAGCGATCCAAAATGCATCACTACAAATCACATGGGAAGGTTCACTCGGAGCAAGAGAGGAAGAAGGTCCTGGGTTCTGGACCAGCGCCCGTTTCTGTGAGAGAAACATTCCTACACGGGCTGCTACGGTTTTACATACTCTGCTGCATCCCACAATGCAAAGCACACCTGGCTAAAGGAACCATTTTCGCTCAACCTTGCAGAGCACACCAGTAGTTGGGTCATATCGGGTTCAGATGACGTTCCCACCACATATGAACTGCTCCAGAGTTTGTTTGGGGCCAGACCGAGACCACCTGAGTCTCGTGAGGTTGTTGAGGGTTTGGAGCAAAGTGCGATTACTGTGTTCACTCCTGCTCAAACGAATCACAACAAGAGGAAAACCAACCAGTATCTGATTTAACCCGACTAATGTAGAAGTGAAAACCCCCTTGGAAGTTGGACAAATGTTCAGCGTTGGTACTGATTGTCTCTAACGAGGCTGTAATTTCTGTATATAAAAAGGTTTAGGGCAAAAGCCTGTGTTGGGGCTCGGAGCTTTTAAATGTTATCAGTAATCCGACACAAACACCTACCTTGTGTCTGATGTGCTGCAGAGTGGGGAAGCCACAGAAGTACAGAGCCGAGCGGTCGATGGGCCTGCTGACATGGTCCAAAGGCACCTGCCAGGCGTCCATGGGGATGTGTGCTTTCCTGTATCAAAGGAAAGTTATTTTATGACCCGAGCAACTGAATTCAGCAGTAATCATTAGCAAATGTAATTAACATAATACATGTTCATTCCAAGTTTAAGTAATAGCTTTCCACTCTCCTCCTCATTTACAGTAACTGTAATGCAGCAAATTCACTTGAATAAGACAGAAAATATTGACTCACAACAACTGAGTCAATTAGAAATGGATTGTTTGAGACAGATAAATTAAGTTACGCGTGAGTGTGTATGTGTGTGTGTGTGTGTGTGTGTGTGTGTGTGTGTTTTCCAACCTGGCATGGCAGTGGACGATGTCGGGGAACAGCTGAGGCAGGGTGGAGGCGTATGTGAAGTCTAACTCACTGTCGTATGAGTAGACTGCACACTCTGTGTGGCAGTTCCTGGATTTCTCTTCTTTAGTCATTTTGTGGCTGTAGGGCTCCATGGCTGCTAGTAAGCACCTCTGTTTAATAAACACACCACACACACGGACACATATGGTTACACTGTTAATGAGTATGTTTTATTTTTTAACATAACTGTGTAAGTGTGTGTGTGTGTGTGTGTGTGTGTTTACCTCGTCTATGAAGGGAATGAGCACCACAGCCTCCCACTCCTGCTGCTTCCCATTGAGGTCCGTTTTAAAGTCAAGAGGGTAGTACTCAATGATGGGCGAACTTTCACTGGTCATCAGGTGCTGAAACAATGAGATTAATATACTATCATCTTTATGTTTTCATGTCTGAGCTGTTCAGGAAAAGATTACAACTTTCTATGTTGGATACTGTTTAAAATAATATTGTAAACAAATTTGTGATAAAGGCACCAAGCGAACTGCAAGGATTCATCAAAATCGCAAAGAAACATGTAGGTAACTTGTGCATCCACACACTAATGTATGTGAAGCTCCAGTACATGTTCTGTGTGTGTGTGGGCATGTGTGTTTGGATGTGTGTGTGTGTGTGTGTGTGTGTGTCTTACCCTGTAACACTCAGGCAGCAGCGCCATACTGGCAGCAGGCAGGACAGCCAAAAGCTGCTGGAAGGGCATGAAGGGTTTTGCGAGGTCAAAGGTCAGTTTTAACCCAGCTATATTCCTGATGTCAGACAGGAAGGGAGCGTAGTGGTAGGGGTAGTACCTGGAGAGACATACCAATATTTAAAGACTGGTGGGAGGACTCGGAACGTTCTCCTCTCTCCTGATTTGTGTTTGAGGTGGTTCAGAAAGACCTTCACTAAAACTGGGCTTGGTGTTAAGAAATGTGTGAAATTTCCCTGTGTGAAGCTTCCCATGAGAAACGATCCTGTGCTCCCTTACTCCTCAAGAGAGTGTAATAAATTATCTGCCTTTCCAGGCCACAGGAATTAAGAGAAACGAAGAGCAAGTGGCGTGTGATAGAGACATTCTTACCAGCTCCAGGACTGAACCCCGTGGTAATAGTAGTGGAGAATCCACTGGATGCCTTCCACATAACACTTGGCCTGCTTGGCAAGAAACTCACTGCAAATGGAAGAATACAAACATATTTTAGAGAAAGCGTTGTTGTTGCTCTGCATCCCAAGTAATTTGTTTTTGTTTTGTGGACTGTGTGTGTTTGCATCTCTACACTCACTCAGACACCACATCCACGCCCATCTTGGTCATGTAGTAGGTGCGTTTGTATTGTCTGAACTCAGTTTCAAAAATATCGTCCTCCTCTTCCTCATCTTCTGCCGCTGCTAACTTTCCTTCTCCAATCACTTCATCTGATGAGGTCAGAGCTGCCAGACAGAGGGAAGAGTCCTACACACACACACACGAGAAATGACAGGAGTTAGTAATTACAGGAAAAACACACACATGACAACTGTGAATAAATGTTGGGTTTGTTTTTATCACTGTGTTTCTACCTCCATCTTGTTGGTTTCTTTGCTCGCGGCTTCCTGCTCTGCTGCAAGTCCAGCGGCCTCATTCAGATACTTGTTACCAACTTTACTCTCAAACCACTTCAAGTCCACAAACACCTCGCTGAAGTGTTCCCGGTCAAACTGGAGGGAAGCAGGAAAGAGGATGCAATCAATGAAAAAAAAACACTTCATTTTACACCAACTTCACGACAAACTTCTGTAAAAACTGAACGACTCAAACCAAATTAATTAACAGCTACATGTGATTCACATCTATTCTTAAAATAACTGGTGTCGGTAACTGCAGCTGTCTGTGCTGCACAAAGTCAACAAGTATTACACATCTACAAGATGGAAAAAATAGAACAGCACTGACCACTTCAGACAGCAACTGTTCCAAAATTTTGAAAGTCTAATGTCAACGTCACTGATTATACTAATGGAGAATTTACACAAGGCTTTCACGGTGTTGTCTCACCTCAGCGAGCTTCTCCAGGTACTTCTCAAAGTTTCTGAGGTTTAGATGTCCGTTCTCATTCAGATAACCTGCATCAGAAAACAGGAGTCAGTTTTGTTTTTCATGTGCAGTATATGATACAGTATATGTGCGTGTGTGTGTGTGTGTGTGTGTGTGTGTGTGTGTGTCTCTCACCCCCCACGCTCGGTAGTACACTGATGTACGTCTTGTATAGCAGAGGCAAAGCATCATGGTTGATGTGAAGATGGGGAAGGTGAGGGATGAAATCATTTCCCACTAGGAAGCCCATTAGAATCCAGTCGTCTATTATTCGCTCCAAGTCATAATCAGAACCAATGTGATTCTGAAAAACATCCATAATCACAATGAGAATAATCAGTATACGGCTTATCAACCTTCCTTGGCATGGAAATTACTTCTTTGTGTCCATACTTCATCTTATTATACTGATTATACTCATGGTGCTGTTCATTCAATATTGTTTGTGAGTGAGTGTGAGTGTGTGTCTCACCCTGAGCTCAGAGAACTCATAGTCAATGTACTCCCTCATCAGAGACAAGTGGAGTAAGTGAAAAGTCGTCTCCTCCGGAGCCGTTATCCTGGTTGGGAAGAAAAACAGCAGGGTTCAGAAAAGTCAAAGGAAATTCTAGGATATCATAAGATAAATATGAACAACTAACAACAACAAAATTAAAGAAAACAACTATTTAAAACTAAGAAGAGAGAAAAGCATGCCACACCTTTTCTGTGATTTCTTTCCTCCAAAGCGGACCTCTTCTCTGAGCAGCGAGAAATTTGGCTCGTGGCTGGTTAAACCCAACATTATCTACAACACAGAGAGCAAAGGTGGGGTGAGCATCTCTTAGACGTCCACAGAGGATTTGAGCAGTAAAGTATGTACTCATGTAATTCCTAACAACGGGCACACAAACCCTACCAGGTCAGCATCCAGGCCGTATAGGCAGTGTCGGGTGTTGGGGTTGTGACCCGGCTTTGAGTTCTCAGAGCGAATAAACTCCATGATCTTGTGTTCTCCTTCACCCGGCGTCTAGAAGAGAAACACACACTCAGTACTGGCAATGCTGACTGAAGCTGCAGTGCCAACAAACTGCCACTGAAACTGCGGCGTCTTGGTTCATTAAAACAGCTGTTCACACACCTCATGACCAGACAGGTAGACTCTGACATTCTGCCACAGCTTGTCAGTGGAGACCTTGTTGTGGACGAAGTATTTGAGCTGCTCCTGAAGTCTCGCCATGAAGTCAGTGCCTGGTTAAAGGAGAAGTGATTAAAGGAGCTGCTGCTGCTGCTAACAAATCTACATCTGATACGTCAGCGTTGTCTACAATAATAGTACTTTCACTCTAGCACAGAATAAGCAGATGGACATGAAACATGTTCACTCAAACTCTGGTGTGTTTTTGTGTTTGGTTCACTTCATTTTGGCTGCTGTGAAAGCTTTCAGTAAAACCCTGGTGCTAAACTAAACACTGAGACCAAGGCCGAGTGAAGAGGAGGTCTCGGTTAGGGATGATACAACTTCAGTCAGGATAAGCGTAGATACCGAGTACTGATCCGTACTGCACTCTATTTTTTTCCCAAATTTAAAATCTGTGTACCTCACTGTGTAAAACTAATTGGAATCATTTTAATGTGAAGTAACAAAATGGCACAGATTGTGACTGTGTGGTCCCTACATTTCTCAATTTTAAATGAGGAACTGCAAATATGATCATAGGTACAATGCAACTCTGATTTTAAGGAAGTGGACTAATCTAATTATTATTGTTTATTTATTATTAACTGCTTTTGTTATTATAATTATTATCAACAATGAGCTAATGGACACATAAATTTCCCCTAGAGGATAAATAAAGTATCTATCCATCTATCTATCTATTTATCTATCTTATACAAAATTGCAACACTTAAGTTGAGCAGAACTCAGCCATTTGTTAGAACTTACTATGTGTTGTTGTAACATGCATGGCAGCGCACATTAACAGTTTGTGACAACCTGGTAATGACTGACTTACGCGTCCAACAGTGACAAGATGGAGAAGAAATCAAACTCACAAACACTAGTGATTCCAGATTTATTTAGAAATTCACGGTTAAACTTTTGTAGGTTTAGCAAAGTTTTTGTATTAATGCAAGGTTAGAACAGATTTTACTACCCTGAAATTATCAACTGTCTTTACATATCCTGCTAAAGTTCCTTTTATCAATCTTAATGTGTGACATTATTCTTGTGTAAAGCTTGTGAAAAGAAACCTACCAGGAGTGATACAGTTGGAATCGAAGCGAGCCTCTGTGGGGAGGACCTCTCCTTTATCCAAGGCTTTTTTTATCTTGTCCTCGGCTTCTTTGGCAGACCTAGAAACAAAGACACAAAGCCCAGCATGTCAAACTCACTGGATTGGGCTGTGCTCCTGCCTGAACCCTGGTTTCTTCAGTCCATCAGCTTAGCAAATGTTGTTTTTTTGTTTTTTTAGGTTAGTCTGTTTGGGGCTTATTCTGCCTTGTTAGGCAACACAGGTTTACAACTGCAGTCCCACAGACATCACCTTTAAACCACAAAATTATACTGGATGGTGTATAAATATATTTGTGAACAGAGCTGTCATCTTGATCAGATAACTAAAAGAGAAGGCAGCATTATTTTCACTTGAGATTTGACATCACGGTGCAGGCATGCTCATAAAATTCCATTTCTTTATTTGGTCACCTCATGAAAAGCTGCTCCAACAACCCACATTTAACAATCATGTTCAAATGTCTTTGAGGTTGAGAGAAGCATTAATGGGTGAAAGGACTGAAAGTTTTCACTGGGGGGGAAAATCATTCTGTAATAATAATAATTTTGTATTCGCAACAGGAACCTGTGTTCACCCTTTCATAACGAAGCCAGAGAGACACATTAACATTATATTCAGGTCTGGAACAGTGTCACAGAGCCAGGTCAAATGAGCCAAGACGACCCATTCTGAGTGTCAGCCTATATCCAAACAGAGGAAAGAATCTCTCCGTGTTTCTTTCATCCTGCAGCCATCTCTACCTGAATCTCCGTCCTCTCTGCTGGTTCATTTTTGCCCTTGGTGCCACACCATCCACAGCCATGAAGAAGACCTTGCGGGGCTTGATAATCCTGAAGAGTACTTCCAGGTAATGGAAGATGTCAGCGAAAATCTTTTCCTCAGAGATGCGAAAGTGGACATCCTCGTCGTTCGGGTGGGAACACTGGTGGATAATCCCATTCATGTCCAGATAGAGATTGTCAAATTCTGGAATCTGGAGAGGGAAAGAAGCACAAAAAAACAAACACAATGTTCCTATAAAGTGATTTGTGAAATGTGTTTTATTTCTTGACATCTATGAACAACAAAACTTTCCTGTGTGGCGTTATTTAGGTTTTTTTAGTTTGTGTGTCTGTGAGACAGGATACCATTCACATGACAAACATTGGACGTCATAAATGAAAAGGTCAGCTTGTCTTTATCAGTCACCAAAGAATTTCTAGCAGACTCCTCCGGCCTACTACAGATAAAGAACCCAAAAACTTTCTCCGATAACAGCCATGTTGACATCTAGGTTTAGTAACAGGGGGAGGGGTTAAATGTTGTGTGGGGTTAAAACTGAGTTTGAAACTGTTACTGTGGAGTGACCTAAGGTGTTACAAAATGGGCATACGACATATTTTCCACATCCAGTGTTATCCAATATAAAGATTTCTGGCATAAAACACCCGTTTTATTTTCTTAAGCACACACACCACTGCTGTCTTACGCAATGAGAGTGACACTGAACCACGTCCAGCTGATGAAACTGCTGCTCCAGCACTGAAATACTATCTTCCTCACTACACTGAGAACTAGGTCACTAAAGTCCATTGCAGTCCGCCGAAGTAGCCTTAAAAAACTAAGTCATGTAAGGTTAACTAAAAATGCCCCCCCTTGATATCCACTACAGGCTGATACAAACAACTCCACAAACATTGCAAAGCACGGTGGCTGTAAACTAGCTGGCAACAATAACTAGCTGTAGCCTCTATTCATCTCTTAGTGTAAAGTTAGTTAGCTAGCTGCCTGTGAGAGGTTTATTGTTGCTCAGAATGTTCTTGCCGAACAAAGAACTAAAGTGCCCGATGGTAACACATTTACTAAGTTAAATTCACTTTGACCTGTTTAACGTTAAAATTTGAACCTGCTTACGACCAAAACAGCAAGCTAGTAAGTGTTGGAATTTGGTAAATGGCGTATGGTTTTGGTTGAGTCAAATTAAAAAATGTAGTCAAAAGTGTTTCGCAACAAGAGAGCTGTCCTGTGGTCGGCCAATAACACCGGTAAGCTACGTGGAATAAAAGTTCCACGGCCCTCTGTATTTAGCTCGCTGATAGCCAGAAGCTAGCTATGCTAACGCTGCGGCTATCGGGAACAGTGGGTTTGGAAGCTAACGAAATACATCTCTGGTTTCCTACCTGATGTTCCTTGACAACTTCACTGAGACAAGGATATCGCTCTGAAATCCATCGGTAAAATTTCGGGACCCCCATCTTCACCACAAAACAAAATTGGTATGCGGTCAAAACCAAGAGCAAATGTGGTTAACGAAATACAGTCAAGGTTTACAACTTGCTTTCAGTGGAGTCAGGTTTTGTTTCCATCGGCCGCTAACTAGCTAGTTGTCCGTGGTCCGTCTGCTAAAACATTCCGCCGCTACACGAAGAACAATCGTTCCATTGTTTGGTTGCACAAGGATCATTTCCTCTCCTCCTTCGCAACAGTTGTCGCTTTGGAACCCATTCCCGCCAGAAAATAAAGAAGAACCAGAAAATTCCTGGAGAAATTTTGAATGTGCCTGCTGCGTGGTGAGTGTACTTCACTCCTCACGTTTCAATCTGTACAAAGGACGTTACTTTCAGTTTTTGTAGAGACTTATCCTGACACCCCCCCACACAGCACCCCCCCCCCCCCCCCACCCCCCCCCCCCCCCCCCCCCCCCCCCCCCCAAACCCCCCCACCCCCCCCCCCACCCCCCCCCCCCCCCCCCCAACCCCCCCCCCCCCCGCCCCCCCCCCCCCCCCCCCCCCCCTGCAATAAAGGCCTATACCACTGGTGGAAGATGGTGTGTGTGTTTGTGTGGGTGTGTGTGTGTGTTGTGGTGTTGTGTGTGTGTGTGTGTGGTGTGTGTGTGTGTGTGTGTGTGTGTGTGTGTGTGTGTTGCATGTGCATTGGTGCGTGTGTGTGTGTGTGTGTCAACATTTGTTAACCTATAAAATAAATCTGCATGCGAAATTCAAGTTTCTGCATGTGTAGAAGAGATTTGTATTTGTTCATGTCTGAAATTAAATTATGAACAAATGATCAGTGGTGAGGTTAAACAAAAACATGTAAGAGGAAGAAATGTTTTTGTCAACATCTGTGTCCTGATACAGAGAAGAAAACTGTAAAACGCTGCGCCCAAAAGTTCCCACACACTGACGTTACAAGGGTCAAAATTTGCAGTCACAATGCTGTTAGTGTGTGTAAGAATTAATTTGTAATGTGTGCTTTTTTATTCTTGCGGCTCACATCATGTGCTGTGGTGCAGTGGATGGATGGGCATTGGTTGAGAAAACTAAGGTCATCACATGACTCACTATCACAGGGTGAGGAGCCCTAGAGAGAGATCATCAGTTTCACCTGAACCTCAAGTTCTATTAGTTTATGATTTTAAAATTTATTGCGCTACAGTGACAGTGGTATGACAAGATGAGACGGACTGTTCAGGACATCTAGCACCAGTTACACAGTGAACCTTTCTAAGACAGTCTGCAGTCACTTACCTCTGCCCCATTGACCCCATCACCGTTCTGTTCAAAGAAATGCATTTTATTAAGTGTTGCTGTATATTCGGTAAACTTGAAATAAAGGGCTGATTTGTTTTAGCATTTGTGTCCTTGAGTTTTATTTTTAATTCATATATATGTATTAGGTGAACCTGGATGAAACTAATGCAGTATAATGGAACAGGCCTGCAGTAAATCCTCCTTCATGAAGATTATAATGTTCAGTATTTACTGAATCTGTTTGAGAAGTGTTGTTTTATTTTAATGGTCATTGTGGAGGCTGCGATTGTTGTTGTGGTAATGTTTAAGTTGCAGATCAACTTCTGTAAGTGCATGTACATGTGTGTGTGTGTGTATGTATACATGTCTTGCTGTGGTTGTGGGGACAAATCTTGGTTTGAAACCATCAGTGTGAGGTTATTGTGGCCAGTCGTGACGGCTTCAAAAAGCTTTTTGAGTGACAGCTGCAGTGACTGAGGTCAGTGTCAGGATGAGGCTCTACGACATGAATGAAGCTGAAAGTAACGTCCTTTGTGCAGATTGAAACGTGAGGAGTGAAGTTCACACACCAAGCAAACATAAGCATCTACAGCAAATAACAACAACAACAATAATAATAATAAAACAAACATACCCACCCGCCCGCCCGGCTCTGAGGTATGCTACCTAGTAGTGATATATCTTAAAGCTGCCCGAGTGACAAATAATTTACTTTCCTTTCAAAAAGGTGATCATTGGTCCCCAGATCTTCTTATATTCCTCCAATCTGTCTGTCAAGACATATCTAATTTTCTCTAGGTGAAAGGTATCTGTTAGTATCGTTATCCAGTGGCTTATGAAACAGCTGTCTGTTTGGGATAAACCCAGTCTGATCTGGATGTATCAGTTTCGCTATGTTCGGCCTAGTCTTCTTGCTAAGGATTTGGCTAATATCTTGAGGTCAGTATTTAATAAAGAGATTGGTCTATATGACCCCGCCTGTTTAAGATCTTTCCCTTTCTTGGGAATAAGAGTGATTACCGCTTCATTAAGGAGCGGAGGAAATGTGCTGGCTTCGAGGGCCGTGTTGTACAATTTTAAAAGATATGGAGCTAAGACGGTACTGAATTTCTTAGAAAACTCATTGCATATCCCATCTGGTCCCGGGCTTTCACTGTTCTTTAAAGTGTTAATTGTTTTGGTTATTTCATCGCATGTGAATTCTATGTCAAGGAAATTGCTGTCCTTCTGAGAGAGAGTAGGTAGGCTGCACTTTTCCAAGAACTGTGCCCTGACCTCTGGTGAAGCATGGGCTTGTGAAGTATATAACTTTTCATAAAATTGTTTAAATGTAGTATTGATGTTATTGCTGACTCAGGAAGTAATACAAGAATTGTTTGCATGTTTTAGATATTAAGAATAACGCTCATGTTGGTAATGTCACATGTTGTGTGTGTGTGTCCCCCGACTGTTTGTCTAGTGACTGTTGACCTTATGGCGGCCCTGAGGTGCAAGACTGAACACTTCACGAAACACAATAAAGCAGTTAATTGTGACATTTTGGAAATTAAGAAAATAGAGAAAAGTGGCATTTCATAGAACAGATTAATGTGTTTGGACAAAATCTTAACTCAATATCCACCTATGAGCTTTTTCTGGACCTTTCAACCACATCTCATGGTCTACCTAAATGATGCAGCTCAGTTAGTTAGTTGGTTGTTATGGAGATTACACATGATTTCTAACACTTAGTGGTCTCCATGACAACTGAGCAAGACTTAATGTTGCATTTGAAAGCTTTATAAATGTCTTTTTGTATTGACAACAAAAAATTCTATTAGTGCCTTTTTAATGATTTGGTGATTTCATCATTCAGGCAATTTTGAAATTTACTAAATTTTGTATGCTAGTCTTACAATAATTCATTGTAATATATATATATATATATAATATATATATATATATATATATAATATATATATATATATTATAAATACTACAATAGGTAATACCATGTGCACACATGTTGACATTGCGCTTGTCTCCCTCCAGGAGTAACCAATTATGTGGTTCATCAAGTGATTGCAAGGAGTCAGGGCATACAGGGGTAAATGGCTAATTGGTGAGTGAAAGCAGTAATTGATGTTTGCATTTGAGATTCCCGAAGCAAACTATACAGAAAGAGGTGAAGAAGAGGGAAGAGACATCCTGATTTCTGGTCAGAGCACTGACCTGGTATAAAAAAAAAATGGACATCAACTCACGGGTCCGGAAATGAAGCAAATGAGAAGTTTCGTTAAACTTGCTTCTATCGAATGACCATCAATGGTGACTCCACTGGTTGCAAAAAGAAGTCCGATTTGTATTTAAGTCTATGAAAATGACCCAAAACCTGTCAGACTGATTTGTTACCTGTCAGTAAAACGTTTTCATTATGTGTTTATGGTCGATCCTAGTTGAAGTTTTGTTCAATTACAATTGAATGTTCATTTTTCAAATTAATGTCCTATTTAAAAAAGGTAAATAGCGTTAAATGCAGAGTGATCCTTAGGGCGTGCTAACCGCGTGATTGCAACGCAGGGGGACCTGCCCTGTTAATCCGGATAATGAAATGTCAGAGTGACGTGTCTGACATGTGAACTTTGTTATTGGTGTTTTCAGTTCATCAAAAGTTAGCTCCAACATGTTGTTTGCCTGAAAATTTCTTGTTTCGGTCGTTCAGATTGTTCTAAAAAGACACTCAGAGGAGTCGGCGGTTCAGTTTTCGGTAAGTACATCTTTGTTTAAGCCTGTTTCTTATTCTTGAAGCCAAAATTAGCCAATCCCTGTTAAATATCACAGTTCAGGTGAAAGATGCACTTGCTAACCAAGCAGTGCTACAGTGCCTAGCGTTAGCTGATAACTTAGCGATTGCTATGCTAGCTGTAACTGGCCCCGCTGGGGCTGATAAACCTGTGGTCCCAGCAACCTGGTTAGCCCGTGGAGGTTTCATCAAAAAGCACAAGAGAAAGGTGAATTTAATCGACGTTAATCAACGACGTTTGGTTTGTGTTTCTACATATGTGACCCAGTTTAATTGATCTGCCGTTGGTGTATGCGGCAGCGTTAATGTAAGTTAATAACATTGTCCATCAAGAAACGTTGTGATAGTTCAGGTTAAGATAACGGACGTATAAAAAAATGTGTAGACAAATATTGTCATATAAAAGAATTGTTCATTTAAATAGTCGCAAACCAAGTCCTCAACTGAAAGCAGACATTCACGCACCTATCCTGACAGCTGATAGATATTTGTGAATAACTGTGGATCCACCGCATCTTAACTCAAGTGTTTTCTTTTATTGTCATTATGAAAAGGTTTCCACACTGTGAAAACCTGAGTGATCTGTGCCAAAGAAAGGAGGACCTCATGTACAGAGCAGCCCGTTTGTTTCCTTCATCGGTTGTGGAGAAGGGAGCTGCGTGGACATCCTTAGTTCTCTAATGTGCGTGATGATGATGGGTAGAAAACCTCTCCACCAGTTCAGCTTCCTCTCTGATGAAATGACAACCATCTGCTGATGAGTTAGTTTATTATTCTCTGTCTTCGGATCACAGGTTCAGTTTCTTACTTGAACCTTCTTTTCCTGCTGTTGTTGACAGGTTGATGGTAGCAACACTTTTAAGATCAAGAATTTAATAGATATTAAAACTGTGATAAAGTGATGGATCAACTCTAGCACTGTCACAACCTTCCATCGGTGAAAGTAATTTACCAAATTAAAATCAGCATGTTTCTTGAATCCTTCATTGTCAGTGTTGTCGGACAACAATTAAATATTTTCTAGTATTTTATGTTGTTGATTAAAGC